CAAACCCCACCCCCCCCCCCCCACACCCCCCCCCCCCCCGCCCCCCCCCCCCCCCCCGCCCGCCCCCCCCCCCCCCCCCCCCGTATATAAAAATCCGGTGAGAATCTTTCATGTCCCCTTCCCTCATCTTCATAGTAAGATAGGAGCGCAGTGAAATTTATTCCAAAGTACCCAAGATACCGAACGCATCGCTATATGAACATCCAAACACACACTCGATTAATCATTTCTATCTATATCATCTTCAAATTGTTTTCGCAAATATATATACCCAAGTCTCGTAGTTGCTCATTTATACTATTGATTTTCATCAATGTTAATGGTAATTTCACTTTACTTTTGCCACTTTGTGATAAGGCAACCAGGCGTAAAACACTCAGGAGTATTAAGGCTTCCTGACAGATATAAGGATGATAGGGGAACAGACACAACAAAAGTACAATGCATTATTCGCCATCCGCCCCTCCGTCTATCAGAGTTAAGTAAAACAGACTCAGGATGTTCTCCTGACAAAAAATGCAGTCCAGCTTACCAACCACCACACATGCTTCAATATCTAACTCCCCGTTCGGGGACAGTATTTAATATCCATCGACTTCGGCGATCCATAACACATGAGGCTCGTCGAAGCCTATACCGTATCTAGTGACCCATCCTTTCTACATTTGTCTATGAGACAGGCTTCTTATAAAAGATCCCGCTTGACGAAAGCCTCCCTCATTGCGCGCCCTAAGGCGGCAGGAGAGCGTTCTACTACTACACCAGCCGCCTCCAGAGCTCTGATCTTAGAGTCTGCTCCGCCCTTACCACCTGATACAATGGCACCGGCGTGACCCATTCGTCGTCCCGGAGGAGCGCTGATACCGGCGATGAAGCTGACAACAGGCTTACCGCCGTTGACGGTATTGTTCGCCTTAAGGAAATCTGCGGCATCCTCTTCGGCTGAACCACCAATTTCTCCAATCATAATGATACCATCCGTCTCCTCATCCTTCAAGAAGACTTTAAGGCAGTCGATGAAGTTCGTCCCGCTGAAGGGATCACCACCAATGCCGACAACAAGAGATTGACCAAGGCCAGCCTGGGTGGTCTGGTTGACGGCTTCGTAAGTCAAGGTACCGGAGCGGGAGACGATACCGATACGACCACGCTTGTGGATAAAGCCGGGCATGATACCGATTTTGCACTGGCCGGGAGCAATGATACCGGGGCAGTTGGGGCCGACGAGACGAGTCTTGGACTGCGACTTGAGGATATCGGTAATGCGGACCATGTCTAGAGGTCTGTTAGAAAAGACAAAAGCTTTGGGGCTGTGTGACCTGGCATACCATGCTGGGGGATACCCTCAGTGATACAAACGACAAGAGGGATTTCGGCAGAGACAGCTTCCTCGATACCAGCGGCGGCTAGAGGAGGACTGGATACGAAGAGTGATTAGCAACTCATACTCGAACCTCGTATTTCGTACCAGTAACCCGATACTTACGGCACAAATATGGCAGTGGCGTTTGCGCCAGTTTCCTTCACGGCATCACCAACATTGGCGAAGACAGGAAGACCAAGATGTTCCTGACCGGCCTTCTTGGGGTTTGTGCCTCCGACGACCTTGGTCCCTATCCGTAGGATTCTATTAGATATGTATTCCTCACTTCGTAGAAATTTACCGCGGAAACGGGGCGCAAAGGATGTAGTTACCATATTCGATAGCTTGCTGGGCATGGAAGCTGTTGGAACCCGAGTATCAGCATGAGCCTTTATTTTGTATTGCGATATGTGATATGGCATATTAAGGAGACCAAGACGATATAATCTTCGACGAGCGGCCAACTTCAAAAGGACGGAGAGCGCTTACGTTCCCTGTTTTCCGGTAAAGCCTTGGAAGATGACCTTGGTGTCTCCGTTAATGCGCAGGTTATTGATCGTCTGGGAATAAGGAGAAGTCGTAGAACTGTAGGCTCGTCGGGATAGCTGGCGCAAGACGGCAGCGCCTGGCCGCAGATGTCTTGAGAAAGCTTGCATCCTGCAGCAATTGACCTATAGGAAACTATAGAGGGGCTTCCGATAGATACAGAGCCCGAGCGTACGAATAAAGGTACGTAGAGAGGTAGAGAGGTAGAGGTTGGTATGAAGTTAGCGAAGAGTTATTTTAGATGATGATTAAGAAAAAAAAGGTTCAAGCTTTCAACGTCTATCAAAAGCTAAATTGCAACCCGTTGTAATGCCGCAGTTCTTTCCAAATTGACACCGACCCAGTAACTGCACATGCACTGGCCACATGCACCTTTTTGCTTTGCCTAGGTTACATATATACATAGGTACTTGGATACATGTACATTCCGATCTTATCTACACTTATCAGACTTATCTACTCTTATCTATCTATGTACATGTGATGCTGGGAGGTATCTATATTACCTAAGCTGGCCAAAGCTTTTTTTAAATCTTGGCAATGCACGCGTTCCCTCTTTGGTGCCTGATTGCGACCAGTACCTAGAAGTACAGGTAAATTAGCGTCAGCGAAGCTTCGTCTACCTCTTGCCATCGGAATCCACTCAACTTAAACATCAACTTTACTACTTCATTCTCTATCCAGCACTGGTATCACCATTACAAGCGAATTCAACCAGCACAGGCTTTTCGCTTCGTAGCCGTGGTCCTTATCCATCTATAATTTATTAGTGCCCATAGCCGGACGCTTTGCATATTACTTTGCGTATCACTTTGACCCGCACAGGGCAATTAGCTTGTCAAGATGGTTAGTATCATATTACCGCCGCTACCTAGATATCTTCTATTTACTGACACGGCGCACGCACTTAGGGTCAAAACCAGTCCGGAATGGGTGGTGCTGGCCAGGATGGAAGGGATGAAAAGGATAAGAAGGTTCGTCGATGGACATCTCATACACTATCACAAACAGCAGCATCGCTGTCGTCATTGCTATCAGCACTGAAGCATCGTTTTCAAATTACTAGTGATTTCTAACTTGCCTATTTTCAACAGAAGGAGAAGCCAAAGTACGAACCGCCACCCCGCCCAACCACTCGTATCGGACGCAAGAAGAGAAAGGCTGCTGGTACTTCTGCGGCTGCTAAACTCCCCGCCGTCTACCCGACCAGTCGATGCAAGCTTCGTCTACTCCGAATGCAACGCATCCATGACCACCTGCTACTCGAAGAAGAGTTCGTCGAGAATCAAGAACGTCTAAGAAAAGCTAAGGCTGCTAAAGATAACACTGGTCCTGCTCCTGATCTCGATGCTCCCGACCGCATGGCCGATGAACGTGGTCGGGTTGACGACATGCGTGGAAGCCCGATGGGTGTCGGTACCCTCGAGGAGATGATTGATGATGACCACGCTATAGTCTCCAGTACCACCGGTCCTGAGTATTACGTCAGCATAATGAGCTTCGTCGACAAGGACCTACTAGAGCCTGGTGCCTCTGTGTTATTGCATCACAAGAGTGTCTCTATCGTCGGTGTGCTTACGGATGATACGGACCCGGCCGTTAATGTCATGAAACTCGACAAGGCACCAACCGAGTCCTATGCCGATATTGGTGGATTGGAGCAGCAGATTCAAGAAGTGAGGGAGTCGGTTGAACTACCACTTCTTCACCCAGAGTTGTACGAGGAGATGGGTATTAAGCCTCCGAAGGGTGTCATACTCTACGGTGCTCCTGGAACTGGCAAGACGCTATTAGCCAAGGCTGTAGCGAACCAGACTTCTGCCACATTCTTACGCATTGTTGGAAGCGAGTTGATCCAGAAGTATCTGGGCGATGGACCGCGACTCGTGCGACAGCTTTTCCAAGTATGATAATAACCATATTGGTCCTCAAGATGGTGTTATGCTAATATTATAATAGGTTGCCGCGGAAAACGCGCCCTCTATTGTCTTTATTGATGAAATCGATGCCATTGGCACGAAGCGTTATGATTCAACATCAGGTGGCGAGCGTGAAGTTCAGCGAACTATGCTGGAACTTCTTAACCAACTGGATGGTTTCGACGACCGTGGTGACGTAAAGGTTATCATGGCAACCAACAAGATCGAAACTCTCGACCCTGCCCTGATCCGACCCGGCCGAATTGACCGAAAAATCCTCTTCGAGAATCCCGATCAGAACACGAAGCGCAAGATCTTTAATCTTCATACGAGCAAGATGAGCCTGAACGAAGATGTTGACCTGGATGAGTTCATCAGTCAGAAGGATGACCTATCCGGTGCGGACATCAAGGCTATATGCTCCGAGGCTGGCCTGATGGCTCTACGCGAACGTCGTATGCGTGTGCAGATGGCGGATTTTAGGGCTGCAAGAGAGAGAGTTCTCCGTACTAAACAAGAGGGAGAACCCGAAGGCCTATACTTGTAGTCTATTACGTGTATTGTAGAATTGCGACGAAGGGGACGGGCCGCGGCAAACGCGGGTTGTCAGCGTTGTAGCGGCTGAAATATATGATACTAGGAGACGCTACAGTTATTACGACTATTGCCCGTGCTTTATTTCGAGTGCCCTATACATAATTAATGCTGTTTAACTTTAGGTACCTAGTTAACTTAGCTCTACTTGAGTTCTCGATATATCATCTATTTTTGAGACTACTGGTAAACGTACCGTCTCCAAGCTACCTAATGTTCCAAGGTATGTTAGCTGTGACCCCAGCTTCAATGAAAATACCTCTAGTACATCATGATCTAACTAGATACAGGTAAACGCGCAGGCAAATACTATTGGTTATAACCCCATGTTACCTCAAGTACGTTGTCATGTCATCTGCGCCTTAGCTTCGAATATTGTGATGACATCAGGTATCGTTCAGGTCTTCATGTCTTGTCCTCTAGTTAAGCTTACACCTAAGCCACTATTATATACGCGTATTCTTAAATAAAGTGACCATCTTGTCTATGTCACGGCCCGCGCTTTATTCTTATTCACGTGTAATCGACCTCGTTCCCTTTTAAGACAACTCCTTAAAACCAGCTTGCCGCTTGTCTTTATTCTAGCAGTATATTACTTCCTTACCCGATTCTACAGTAGCTAATCGTGCCTCGTTTGGACTCTACAATGAGCGCACATCCAAGCCATTCGCCCATTCCGGGTGATAATCCTAATTACTACGCCGAGCTAGGCGAGAATAATCCTCAGCCAGTTCCATCTCAGTCTGGTGCGACTCAGCAAGGACAATACAATCCCCCTTCAGCTTCAGGTCCTCCATTGTCCTCTAGCGCCGACCCGACTTACTATCCACCGCCGCCACCTGGCCCTCCTCCAGTTACTCAACATCATGATTATTATCCACCGCCTCCAGGTCCTCCACCTTCAAATTTAGACCAAGTGTACTACCCGCCTCCGCCACCGGGCCCCCCTCCGCACCAGGTCTACACACCATCAGAGGAGAACCCAAGCTACCCTCCGCCGGGCTATTCGGAATTTGAAACCGGATCCGGGATTACGGCGACTGATGAAAAGCCACCAGCTCTTCCATCACGCCCCACCCCATCACAAGGAGGGCAACCGGCACCACATTTCCCTCCCCCTCCTACCGAGGCTTCACTCCCTCACGTAGCTGCGGGTCTTCATCCCGACCAGCAGCACCAGCAGCACCAGCAACAGCCGTCTACAACAAACACTCATGCTCCCGCTTCTTCTACGCCAAAACCGGGCTTCGGGCGTAAGCTACATGGATGGGCTATGAAGGTCGGTACCCCTATCAACAAACTAACGAACAAGCTGGGTTCCGAAGCCTTCATGCCCACAACCATGGACAAGGAATGCGATAAGGCGGCGCGTATTCTGAAGAGTTTTTGCAGTGCGTTCCCACATTTCATATCCCTACCCAAGGTATTTACCTAAGGCAAAGTAAACCTAACATATGTCTTCAGAAGACGGCTTTTATACCACCGCATCTGCACCCGCACCCGCATCAACGCAAGGTGCCCCATCTTCAGGCCCAAGCAGCAAGTCCAAAGTACTAGTAAAGATCCCGCAGTCCGTGATTGCTAACGCGAAGGGGTTGGCAATCTTTACCACCTTCCGCACTGGGTTTCACATCTCAGGGGCAGGAGGTGCAGGCCTCGTCGTCGCCAGACTGCCGGACGGTAGCTGGTCACCGCCGGCCGGATTCCTCGTGCATACGTTAGGTGCGGGACTTGTTGTCGGGCTTGATATATACGATTGTGTGTGTGTGCTCAACACTCCCGCCGCCGTCGAAGCTTTCGCCAAACCCCGCTTTAGCTTGGGTGGCGAGGTCGCCGTCGCAGCAGGGCCTATAGGCGTGGGGACAAGCGTCGAGGCCGCAGTGGGAAAGGGAATTAAACCGGTGTGGAGCTACATGAAGTCGCGGGGCTTCTACGGCGGCGTGCAGGTTGACGGGACGATAATTATACAGCAGCCTGGGACGAACGAAGCCTTTTACGGAGTAGACGAGATCAGCGTGGATAAGATTCTAAAGGGCCAGGTCGGAGATGGTAGTCAGAGTGGGAAGAATAAGAATGAAGATATTGTGATGTGGCCCGAGGGTGCAAGGCAACTAATGGAGGTGCTAAAGGCGGCTGAGGGTAAGCGCGCCGATGAAGGTATCATGAACAAGCTTGGTGACCAGCCTACCCCTGGAGATCTCGCCCCTACACCTACGCCTTCGCCGGGTCCCGAACAGCAGCATTTCCCTCAGAAGACGGACGACGATGCGGGAGGAAAGACAAGATTCGCCTAGGCTATATTTCATGATTTCGATATCGTCCTGTTCCTCATGACAAAGTTTGGAAGGGGATATAATTTCAAGTTAGAGGTAGCTATATTGAGGGGCAAATTATCATAATTATTGGGATACAAATATTCTTTGCCGACCTCTTTAAGTAACCTACCTAAGTAAGGTATCATTGTTCTTAATTAGCCATTCAACCCCTTTCCTTGATATTTAGAGAGTCAACGCTTCTTAGTAGACTACAGCCAGCCCCAAGTATGGCCGACTCTTAAGCATGCATGCATCAAGATACCCCCCTGATGAACTATGAACGCAATTCTTGTGCTCGCTGGACAGCTTTAGCAAGCCTCTTAATTGCTTCAATCAGTACCGCTTCCTCATTCCACGCCCAGCATAGCCTAGTGCCTAAGTTAAAAGTTGACTGGGCCCTCTTCAGGCTTTCGGGATCTCCTTTGACAGCGAAAATCTCTCCTGGTGCAATAGTTAGGCCGAACTCCTCGCGGCCAATGCGGATGATTTCGGTCGCCGATGGGAACTGATTTCCCCTCGGAAAATCTATGTATAGAAAAAATCCTCCCGATAGTATAGTTGGCACACGGTTACTTGCGTCGTCCATAGCGAAGGTTTCGTATGGCTTCCCCGTTGATATCCTTATTCCGAGCGGGTAAAGATAAGTTTTAATAGCTTCCACAAGGGCTCTATATCTTCTTCGATATACCGGAATCAAAGTATTCTGTATGTGATGTTCTAAAATTCCAGAAACTAACATCTCGTCGATTAAGAAGGAAGTATACTGCGCTTGACAGCCGCCGGACATAGTCGCCCCGCTAGAAGCCAAGTTGTCAAAACTTCCTCTCCCAATTGATCGAGAGATCCGAAGACTTACACTGTAGATAGCCCGTGTATAAAGTTCGGCATCGCTTCACACCACCCCACCCGAAGGCCGGGAGCAGCCAGCTTCGAGAAAGATCCATTACTTACGGTATTCCCCCATTCGCTTGATCCAGCCATCTGCCGGTCAATATCCACAAGCCTCGGGGGCAATTCTAGACCTTCATGCGAGATGCCGTCATCCGCCGGCCAGGCAAGAAAGTCGTATACATCATCTGCAATCAGGAGAATATCATACTGGCGCGCTAACTCGACTAATGCGGTACGGTGATGTATTGACATTGTTTTCCCGCTGGGATTGGATAGTGTTGGGACCACGTATAAGATATACTTGTAAATTTTCCTATACCCCTGAGCGGGAAATTTGGTGCGAGGTACGCCAGTATTCAAGATACCATCATCGGTCCTGCTGTCTTCTTCCAGCTGACGTCGTAAATACTCTAGGTTGATACCTTCATCATCTTCGGGGATACCTCGCATTCTCTGACCAAAGCCTGCGTCTAGAAACGTCTGGACGGCAAGGAAGTAAGTGGGTTCTACGAGAAACACGCGACGCGTATACGACGGGTCTGCGAACTTCTGCAGAATTCCCGCAAGTGCTCCAGAGGCGCCGTTGGTAATGATGATACGATCTCGGGTGATGCGGCCGGATACGGGGCGGTATTTTTGGCTGAGCCAATCCCCAATGTGTTCACGAATACCGTCCTCGCCATGATCAGGACCGTATGTCAATGCCATTCCTGATTTCTCGGGCTGCGACAGAATTATTTGAGACGCTGCTGCCAACTTGTCCGCTGCTTGTAAGTTCGGAGTTGGCCGACCAATTAATAGGTCGATCGGTTTCATTTTTGATTCTTCAGATGCCATAGATAAATCAAGATCATAGATTAGGTAATCTTAAACGATATATTAGACGATATATTACCTAGGCAATATCTCTATATATGTCGGAATGATATGAGTGTGGCTCTAAGAAGATGATGGGGCATGTCAAGCCACAAGAGTTTATAAATTATACCTGGGTAGGTATTTATCGTGTGTCCCACAAGCACTGCATCTCCGAGAGACGGAGGTCGAATTTAAACTAACTCTAGGTAGTTTAGTCAAATACGCCAGACTCGACTTATATATAACTTATATACCTAATATATATACCTACCTAATATAACATTATTATAAAAAGTTACTCATTATAAACCGTCTCATCCCAGATCACCACCGCCTGAGGCTGTGCTTACAATTAACATCCTTGCTTTGATGATCGACCACATAACTACTATATATCGACTCTAAGATAATAGTGTAGGAAGAGCTTTCAGAGGCGCAGTATTACTTGTTTCATGTTTACTTCTTACCTTGACCAGCGAAACTTGGACTTTTTAATATGAATTAGGTACCTACTTATTGGTGCAGTCTATATACTCTCCTAAGGCTAGCCCTGAATATCTAACTGCATTATACCTAGACTAGATTCTGAACTTCAACTATATAGCTCATCGAAATCTTTAGTACTTACCGACCTACCTAATGTAGGTATATCTGTTTATAGTCTCTTAGAAACTAGTCATAGTCATTAGTCAACACGCGTAGCGAAATGACACGCGTGAACACTGCTGGGTATGTAAAACACGTTATCAGTTGCCAGTAATAAATTATTCGGGATTTTTAGATGAAATAACCACTCTCCAAACCGTGTTAGCTCGTTGGCCGCCTACCTGGGCACTGGGGTAGGTAGTCGACGCCAGGGCGGTAGGACATTTATTCGACGTGACGTGCTATCGACCGGCCCATGTAATAAACCCAGTAGAAGAAGCCTCTCGAAACATGCCCAGGGATTCTCGTATAACTTAGTTGCTCTATTTCAAGGGTTTAAAGTGTCTAAAGGCTTGCCCCACGGATACATATTCTGTCGTGAAAATGCCCCGTTGCCACTGACAACCTAGCAGGAAGCAATAGCGCGTCTAGGAGCCAATGCGGCTATTACTGGCATTAAGTCTAGATATGCCCCTTTTGTTACTCTATCAAAAGAGCCTGTTACGGCTATCGCGGAAGTACAGGGGAAGGGTAAGATAGAAAGATAGGGTATAGAATGTAGACTATTTAACACCTATTCATCGTCACGAGTGCCAGCTATGCGAAAATATCAACAATATGTATATATTATCTATTGCATTTAAGTCTCATGATACTATTGTTCTAACTGAGAGGTATGTGATCAAGGTGAAGTTCAATATCATCGTAGCCTAGTCCTCCTGTTGAATTTTTAAAACACGTAATAAAAAAGTAGCAATTATCTCTTATTAAAAATATGTACCGCTTGGTAATCTGAGTAGGTCAGATACTCTACTCCATTCATCATCGTCTCCGTTCCACTTAAAAGCTCTGCTGCTTGCTAGTACATTAGTTTCTAACTGAAAACTAAGAACTGGCAACCTTGGAATAGGCGGAGCTGAAATCATAGACTCCTTTACCGCCGGAGAAGTAGGAATAATGGGAATTATATTATGGACTGTCAGATACTTGGAATTATTGTTATCCTTATTGAACCTTCGATATTTGGTCTAGTGTTTACCGATCTTCAACTCGATCATCTGGATTTGGTAAAACCTTCGAGCTAGGTAAACAAAGGGGGTTACCAGTCGAGTATACAAACTTAATGTAAGAACGAGTTACATTGCTACGTTATTATAGTCTGAGATAATTACAAAAGTAAAGTGGAGTCGTTAAGGTGGCTATGCGTTGTCGTTCCTGTCGCTAACACTGCCTCAATCTAAGTTGTTACTCGATCCTGAGACCCCCTTTCCCCTCGACCGGCCCTAATTGAATCCTACTGGACACAATAGCGTCAAAAAGATACCCCATACTGGTCACTACAGTATGGGGCATGTCTTCTGATGGTATTCTGCTAGAACAGTAATACTGTAAATACGAAAGCCGCCAAGCCTCGTATCCAGTCGAATCGGTTACTACCTAGTCATGTTTCTACTAAAAGTATACCTGTTATACCCATTGTAGCTGTAAACTAAGAGGAACACCTACCTGTTGTGAAAAGAAGATTCTTGTCTGTCTTCGGTGACTTTTGTTAATGCCTTCAACCATCAAAAACTTACGTACACGAACTTAGCCTTCAGGCCTTTATTACCTAGGTATTCTTTAGAATCATGCCATTGCGTAACCATCCTACATATCGTGCTACCCTTATTTCTTTAGTTTTATTATCTCTCATTTACTATACTCGATATTCATCACCACCGCGAACAGCTTTAGTCCCGCCGCCGGTGGATTCCTTGTCATTGGAACAAATTAGTCGACCAGCCTGCCCCCAATCGGACTTTCAGAACGATATCCTAGTAGTACTGCGGGTGGATGTAACTGAAATTCACGAGAAGTTACCGATTCACTTCGAAACAGTTCTTCGCTGTGTCCCTGACTACGTTATATACTCAGATGCGGAGGAAACTATAGGCGACCATCATATCTACGATTTTCTGGGCCAGGCCAATGAAACCTTGAGGAACGCTATTTCCGAATTCGAATTATATAACCAGCTTCATATAAGCATGAGAGAAGAGCAAGAATGCCAAAAAAGACGACTTGGTAGTACTCCACAGCCCCCAAACAAAAGACTTCAACAATGGAAGCTTCTGCCGATAGCCGACCGAGCATTAAAATATAGACCGCAAGCAAGATGGTTTGTTTTTCTTGAGGCGGACACATACATGGTATGGCCGAACGTCCTAGAATATCTTGCTAAATTCAATGCTGAACAGCCGTACTATCTTGGAGGCGGTATGAATATTAGTGATGTCTTGTTTCCTCCTAAAGGGCTGGGATTCGCGCTCAGTAATCCAGCTATAAAGAAGGTGGCTGAATACTGGAAGGAGTACCAGAACGAATGGCGTCAAAGTTCAAACGAACGTTGGGTAGGGGATATAACACTAGAGCATGCGCTTGGGGGCATAGAGAAAGACCTAATCCGGACCTTTCCATACCTACAAGTCAACGGCCTGACTACCCTTGACTGGGCTGTTTTGGGGTCCGAAAAACGGTTCCAGTGCCCTGCGCCGCTAATTTTCCACCACATGACAGAAGAAGAGTTTACTACCATGTGGAAGTTCGAACAGGAACGTTTACATCGAAATTGGGGCAAGGGCTTCCTCACTTTTCGCGATATATTCAAACGCTTAATATACCACCAGATCAAAACTAAGCGGGCTAGGTGGGACAACATGTCAGTTGGGATTGAGTACAGTGATAAGACATTAGGAAGGCTTTCGAACCGCGAAAAAGATCGACTCTCGCCGGCTGAGCAAGAAGCTCCGTTATCATTCGAGAAATGTCGGGCTGCATGTGAAAGCAAGCCTACATGTATTCAATTCTCTTATACCCAAGGGAGCTGCTTGACTTCTGGCGAGTTGCGATTAGGACATACGGTAGATTCGAAATGCGCAAATTCCTCAAGGGTACCTGAAAACTGCGTTGAACAAAGGCCAATACAAGACAACGAGGATATATATTCTAAGGACAAGATACCTATACAATCAGGTTGGATTATGAAAAGAGTTTCATCGTACTACCAGAACCTGGATTGGTCGTGCGATAATAGGAGGAAACCACTATACCACACAAAAATAGAAGCCGATATATAGGTGATGAAATATATTTCCAGCGCCGGGGAACATATTAAATAAGTAGCAATCTACCCCGCAGCTGTCTGTGTATGCATAATTACAGGTTTAAATATTCTTAAATCATGTTGAGTTGAAGGACTGCGCCCGCTTCTCGAATTCTCCTCCAAAGATCCTCACCGAGGAAGGCTGGTGTGAGACAGCCCCCGGCAAACCGGCCTTCTAGATTTCTGGTATAGAGCAATGATGCAGCTGCCTCGCCTAGGAAGAGGGCAGTAGTGTAGTACCCGCCCGAGGGATATGAGAAGCTTGCATATGCACGAGGTGGACTATCGCTATCCGTGTCCGCGATAGCTACAGCCTCGAATTTCAGTCGTGACGAGCGTTCTTTTTCGACGTCAGGTCCTTCACCAGGTTTCGGGAGGATCAACCCCAAGATACGCTTTGTGGGCCCAAAATTTAGGACAGTCCTCATAAGCGCAGATGTAAGCATGTGTGATATTCCATCCACTGTGGAAGAAACTTTACTGTACTCATTGTACCAAAAGTTTGGCCCGTACCCTTGGTCTGTATCTTGTAACAGAGCCCAAGTTCTGTGTACCAATGGCCGGTCCAGTTCAGCACCGATTGATGTCGCGGACAACAAACCGAGGGTTGGGTCCTCACGCATGCCGAGAAAATTGGCGGGTATAGGAGTCTGTGGTCTCTTAATAGGTGATAATACCCATGGTTGTTTTGCTTCCTCGAGCTGTTGAGGGTCATAAGGCCTCTCAGCTAACAGTGCACTGGCCGAGCCACCACTAACACTGAGCCTACCCGGAGAGAAGTCAATAAATATGAGTCTACGCCGGGAAAAAAAGATTTGACACTCACTTGAACTCTGTCATGGATAAAACCAATTCCTTCGTTTTCAGAGACGTCTTCTGCTCTAGCTCCCGCGCTGCAGCCCAGGTGAGAAGATCTTGCGGCCCGGAAAGTACTCCGCAGAGGTGAATTAACTACCACCGATACTAGTGAGCCAAGACCTCGCTTCAGATGAGTTGCATTGAAGATTAGGAGCTTACGGCAATGCTAGCATTTACAGCTGCATCGTGATATCTATCGATCAACGTACGCAACCATGGTATATCTCCAGCCCTGTAAAATGTTAGAAATTGCCAAAGCTAAATGAGTTATATTCCCAAGGTAGAACAGCAAACATACACGTCAATATAATCTGTGCCGTTCTCGACACAAGATTTTACAACAATTTCTCCAACCTGCCAGTATAAGACTACGCTGATACAGACTTTACTGTTCTTAACAACGGAATCGAGTTGACTGGAATCGTCGAACGCGACTACCTCGATTTCTATATAGCCCTTATTAATTGATTCGGTATGATGGGTGTGGCCAAGAGGAGTCATAAGTGACTACTAACCTGGTTGTACGCGCTCTGGGTCTAGGTCGTTGAGCTTGTTAGAGAGACTTTCCAGCTTGGACTTTGATCGACCAGCAATGGCCCATTTCAGATCGACTGGAAGATGCCGAACAATGTACTCGGCGGTCAATACCCCGGTGTACCCAGTAGCTCCAAGTAGGAGGATGTCATATTTTCGAGACTTTCTCCGTTCTTCGACTACTCTATCCATGATATTGATATTAAGTGAAGACAAAGCTACATAAAACAGCCCAGCCATCGTTGAGTAGTATGGAAGTTCACGATCTTAATATACTTTGTCTCTCTATCACGACCCCGGCGCCGGGGGGGATGCGCCGCCTGCGCCGCCGGATCGGTCGAACAGAAACAATAAGGTCGGATGAATTAATGATGAATTAATTGTCATATCACCATAAATGTGGTTCGTGCGTTCCACCGCGCAGCAAGCCTTCCCCGTCCCTTTTCGGGATACGGGATATTTCTAGATCCTGGCAATAACGATCTCGAGCTCATGCTATTGCTTGCACCCCGGGAGAAAATTCATCAGGGCTCCATTCCATACCTTAAGCAGGTAGATAGATGTGTTTCCAGTGCAAAAAGTCTCCGAGAAGTCTCCAAAGACGGCCTAACTTCGAACGATTCTCTTTTGAGGCGGTAGATGACGATACGATACTTATCGACACCTTAGTGTATGTAGTTGAATATTAGGAATCGAATCCGGATACCAATGCCTTCAGATCCGGTGATCTCGTGAAAGGGAAGAAACCGTCAAGAGAATATCCTGAAGCAAGATAAGTATTTCGTAGAGCGCTTTTGATTTGAGGTTGAGGAAAATCACGAACGTTCCTTCGCATTCTATTCCTCCAGCGTCGCGAAATAGCGGGAAGCATTCGCGGCTCCTATTTAAAGCTAGTGTGTTTAAGCCCAAGATATCGCCGTCCCGGCATATTCCCATAGTTATTGCATTGACTTGAGGACGTAGTTTCTTTGTAGTCCAAAGGTAAGGCCAAATCAAGAGGTACTCATGGCGTCGAGTATAGAGCGACAAAGTAAGTTTTGAGCCTCCGTATCAAAATACGTTGTCAATTATTAAGTTAGATCGGCCTCTCTCTGTCGACTTCGCAATATAGCTTTGATGCAGTCTACGTTATCGACCCCGATCAAGTTTCGTTGCTCATCTTTAATATTCCAGACATCCTCAATGTCTTGTTTAATCCTCCGGAGCGAGGGAAGGTGACGAGCTTCATACATAGCATTAATCCTGTCTCGTACAAATTGACGCTGGTCAACGTCGATGGATTCGCAGCCGGCAGTCCAGAGTGGCCAAACTTGGGCCGATACAAGAGGTGAGCCAACTGCAACGAGGCTAAGGTGAGCCAGGCAACTTCGAGCATACTTCAACGCAGATGGATCTGGTGCGCCTTTGTTATGCCAGACCCGGTATAGATAGATGTACGCAGCATATCTGTATGCCTGTACGGTATGTTCCACGTCTCCCATCGGGCCCTCAGACTGGTCAAGTTCATTGAGAACTTCTTCAATAGCGTAACCCCATGCATTAAGGTGTTTCGCATCTTGGTCCCGCATCCTACTGATCTGCCCAACAATTCGCAGTACGGAAGTGAGTTCCTTCATAGATTCCATACCTTCGATCGGAAACTCTCCATCAAATTCAAAAACTGGACTTTTACCCCGAGAAACGGAGGCCAATATGTCGTGATAGGAGCAAAGACTAAGGAGGAACGAAGCCCTAGAGCTGTTCCACTTATTGATCCCAACCTGGTTAATGATAGCTTTCGCCCCGGATAGATGGTCGACCCCGGAATCCACGGTGAAGAGCCTATCGGAGACTTGGAGCATTAGAATAGTGGCGAGCGACAACTCCGGGTCTTCTGTTTGAATCGTTTGCCGCAGGGCGGAAACAGCAACGAGTCGATACCGGGTCGCTAAGGTATGAAATGAATTTTCGTTTCTTAGTATGGCCAAATGACAAGCTGCGATCGAGCATAAGACAGACCGTAGAGCTATTGAATGCGATATCATTGGAGTTAAGTGAACAAGAAATGGGTTCTGGGAGGTCGATACCATGGATACCATCGTGACCAGAGTTGTCGACCAATGATTAAGGAGATAACGATTTACCGGATGAACATCATTCGGTATAATACATGATGGGTCGTATCTTACTATTTGACCTGTAGACTCACTAGACGATGCCGGGATAGTCTCATCGTTTGAATGATCCTTTGAATGTTCCTTCTGCTGCCGTGTATTTCTGGCTCGCTTCGGTTTTGGTAACCCCTGAAGGGGCTGCCATTTAAGTCTGACTCCATATCCTTGGCATGTCTTCTGGAGTCGAATACATCTCCCGCAAAATGGTTTTTGCTCATCACACTTATAACCATCCTCTCTACAGGTATAGCAACCAGTCCTCGTCCTCGAGAATGGCATTTTGCAATGGATGTGAGGGGCGTGATGGATAAAACTATACAAAATTACATAGTTAAGTTGAAATGGACAAAAGATCCATTATTGGGTGGGGACGCGCGACAAACACACCCGGATTTATTCGTCGGAGGTTCTAGAATATTTAATCGAATCGGCACAAAGTGGAGACCGACTATACCCGGCGGTTTCCGATTAAACTTCGTTCTCTAATTGGCGATTGCACAAAGTACTACCTGCCACTACCACGAACGATTAGCATCTCAGCTGATCCTCCTTTGGCTCTGCGATAAAACGAACCTTGAACTATAAATTTATCTAGCAGCCATTTATAACAAAAGGGTCCTTTTACTGTTCACCAGGCGCTTGCATAATATATTAGTTAACGGTAGGTCAGAAGATATTTCAAACTACCTACACTGCTTTCGGTTTTTATAAAGCAACGAGTAAACCAAAAGAAACAACAGGCAATTCCTTTTCTTAAAGAATCATATCATGGCCGAGTTCGTGGCAGGAGAGGAGCCTTCAATGGATCTCCCGGTCATCGATCTAGACATATATCGAAACAACCCGGCAACTAGTCCCGAGGTGCAGGAAGAATGCCTACGCGCGGCCCGGGCGCTCGCAACGCACGGGGCGTTGGTACTACACGACTCGCGGGTGTCAGAATCGGACAACGAGGCGTTCCTAGACCTACTAGAAGACTACTTCGCGCAACCAGCCGCGCTTCTGCAGCGCGACGAGCGGCCGGAGCTGGGCTACCAAGTCGGCGTCACGCTTGAAAATACCGAAAAGCCCAAGTGTGCCGTCGACGAACCTTGCCTACGCGTCATCGAGCGCCTAGCTCCGGAGGAGCGACCACTTGACATCAGTGGTCATCAGCCGGATCCCAAATGTCGGTTTTTCGTACGTGTTTTAGTAGTTCGTTCCGAGAGCCATATATAAGACTATCCTGATTTTACCCTACTACTCTTTCTACAACTTGTCTAAACCATGGGGACATCTCTCTTACAAGAATATCTGTTAACCCTCGTCTTCGCAGTGGCGCATGGGCGCGGCCGCGCCTTATGTTACGCAATTCCCGGGCCTGAATGCCGAGAACGTGATTCCGGATGCCCCTGAAATCAAGAAGAGATGGACGCCCGTTATGGAGACGTGGGGAAAGAGTATGAAGAGCGCGTGAGTATGGCCTAGGTTGATTAGCCGCTTCCTCTGCCTCAGAAACTTTTATTCTAGTAGTGTGGTAGATATCATGTTGACTAACAACGATTGCTCGTGAGTTAGCGTTTCGGGGCTTGCCGAGATGGCCGCCGTTGGTATGGGACTCCCCGCCGAAACCTTCACCGACGCTGGGCTATATGGGTAAGTTACGCCCACCTCTCTTCCATGTCCTCCTGCTGTATCAGTCCTGTTATTCAAGGCTCTAACCCTTATTTCGTATTTCAATTTAGCCCACACCTTCTAGCCCCGACGGCGTCTGACCTTGAGAAGTATGGGCAAAAGGACACCATCTTGGCCGGCTTTCATACAGACCTGAATTTCTTAACGATTCACGGGCGTTCCCGATACCCGGGACTTCACATCTGGGCACGAAACACGGGTCGTCGTATCGCTGTCAACATTCCGCGTCCCTCTGCTTCCTCGTCAGGGAGCTACCTGCTTGTCCAGGCTGGGAAGCAGCTGGAGCACCTAACGGGCGGGCTAGTGAAGGCCGGATATCACGAAGTAGTGGTCAACTCGTCTACGCTCAACACGGTTGCCACACGGCGGCGGGAATATCCCGACCGGCCCCTCGTACGCATTAGCAGCACCTTTTTCTGGCACCTAAGCAGCGATTATGACCTGACGCCTATTCCTGCACTAGCCACGCGAGCCAGGGATGTGCGCGCCGCCAACTTTAACCTCGGTCGCGACGAGGGCGACGAGATTGAGTACGCGCCCATGAAAGTAGGACAGCAGGTTCAGAAGTAAGCTGCTCAGTTTCCTGAATTTCTTCCCAACTTTTAAAATATCCGTACTTCTACTATGCTAACTTACTATCGTAGTGAGCTAAAGCACATCGCGCTTCTAACATGAGAACGGGTAATGAGCTTTTCGTCTAGTGTCTCATTTGTAAGTTGGACGTCTCTACTAACAACTTAGCTAAAGATGAATTGTGAAATATTTCTTATTGGGCACCGGCATAAGATCCACGAGGCATTTGCGCGTAATTACATCATAATGATAGGCATGCACGAAGTATGTATATCAACAATACACGCCAATATCCAGTGGGGTTTCACGAAATCATTGGACAACACTACGGGTACAGATATCACAAGACTGGATAATGTATAGTCTTAGATATAAGATGATGTATCAAAACAAAGGAACCAGTCCATGTATATTTGACTCGCCGAGTCATCCCCGCCGCGGAGTCTATCATATACAAATACACCAAACGCCGCGCAATCAAACTCCTTCCCTATTCAACATAGGGCTATAGGTCTGTTACCTATGTAAAACACATCCCAAATACGCAATTACGCTTATTCGATCGCCAAGATGTCTACTTCAAGTGCCCAGGGCCCGCACTCCAGGATAGAAAAATGAGTGTTGGAGGTATGGAAAACCATACATAAGACACGATTAACCGCTACCTTAGTACCCTGCTGGTCTAGCAGGAATAGGCGGTGCCGGTTTCTTAGCCCTGCTTGGAGGTGGTGGCGGAGGAGCCTTTTTTACCGCCCCCGTCGTCCCCATAGTACGTAGCCCGGTGTTACTCGTACTGCGACTTAAACTTCCATGGCTCGTAGCCGGGCTTTCGCTGCGATCGTAGTCTGGACTCGCGCTACTATTGGTCGTGTCGTAATCATCTACGTAGACGTCGGGGCTCAAACTCTGGCTGGTCTGGACTCTATTTACTGGGCGCAGATTATTGCGGAGAGATCCTATAGCCGGTGGGGGTGCCATGGGAGTCTTGCGTAGTGAATCGGAAGGCGGGACTGGAGGTTCGCGATACGACTGTTGTCTTGGTGATGGCCCATCAAATGCACCCGCGTGCGTAGTTGCGCGACTAATCCCCGGCCTTTGCGCCTCGGGAGTTACTGAACCACTTCCACGGTACGGACTTGAGCGAATGGGCATCTGCACAGGTTCAGGGGTTGGTTCATCTCGCTCGTAATTATCTTGTCGGCTTGCCCACCGTTCAGTGCGATCATTTCGTTCCGAAAATGACTGGGCTGTGTTGCTCCTACTTCTCGTCGAACGTCGCGAGACGCTAAGCTCAGAAGGTCGAGAACCGCCGGATGTCTGACCCTGACTACCAACCCATTCCTGCTTCACACGTCGGAGCTCTTCGGCACAGCGTTCGTAGTAGTCCAACTCGCAATCAAGGAAACACGTAAGGTCGCGGACGGATTCAGCTTCGGCCTCCTTGATATCTTGCATTCGCCGAAGAACATCCTCGGACGACTCCTCGTACTTGGCTTTCGCGGTTCGAAGCTCGTCTTCAAGTCTGAAGTCTTCTCGTTTCGCCTTTTGCATCTTTACCATGCTTGCATCGTATGTGAGACGTCTGTTCTCGAGCTTCTTACGGGCAGACTAATAGAAGCTGGCGTTAGCTTATCTAACAACACCCTCGCGTACGAGTATTGGATAACAAACCTGGTATTCTTTCATCATAGCTAGCGACCGCTCTAGCCCTTCTAACCAGTAAGAGGTAGCATGCGCAACATATGTCTCCTGAATGCCAGCGATGCGTTCGTTGGCCCTGCCCATGGCTACACCATCGTTCCAACGTCAGCTATTGCTCATCATATTCTTCGTTCCGATATTACAACATACCAATTAAGCAATTGCCAAATTCTGAGTCCGGCTCGAAATCTTCGCCATGGCTCATCATTGTCCGTCCAAGGTAGCTGACAGGGAGACCCTTCTCCTTGTCTTCGAATGTCTCACCCTTGCGAGAAAGCGATTTGACATAGGCGTTCATGGATTTCTGAAGACGTTCGTAGCCTGTAGTATAAAATGAACATTAGTTTACCAATTAAGTCGACAAGCAATGTATAGGTTCTATACCGTCATGTCGAAGAGCCATCTCTGTCTCCAGACTCTTGAATTCGTCCGTATGGCCAGTTTTGGCCTCATGGCCCATCTTCTCGCCAGCCCATTGAAAGGCGCGATCCATCTTCTTAGTGAAATTCATACTGGCGGCGTTCCTAACTGATGTATGTCTCCGGGCTGATTTGTCGTCTTGAAATGAATGGAAAATATAAAATGTTTTATGGGAGTCCTGCTACCAGAAAGAAAGGGAACCCAAGAGAGTTGTGTTGGTATGAAATAATAATTATTTGGATATCTATTTAGCGTTGACTCGGATCGTGGGTAAAGAACAGATTCAAGGGGAAGCAGCTCTAGACACTGGGGCTTCTGGAATGGGGAACGAGCTGTAGCCGTGGTGGATCGCGGTGGAGAATCGATCTAAGGCTTGGACGCGTATGATGTAGATCAAGGGAATAGGGGGTAAAGCGGAGGAGAGCTCCCGGTTACCCTCGTACGTTAATAAGAGCCGAGTATCGCACGCCAATTACTTTTTCAGATAAGGAAGAGACGATATTCCTTTAATTAAGAGAGACTAAGTACCTTGGCAACTTTATTATTGGTGTATTATTTAAGGCGAGAAGAGAAGAAAGGAAGAAGTGAAAAAAATAAATATACTCAGAACGAAAGGCAAAGACAGAGTTAAACAAGTTTTAAACCTTGGCCCTGCTTGAACGACTAGGATGTTTTATCAATGCAAGATCAACGTTGTAGCGTTGTAGCGTGGCAACTAAAAAGGAGGTTACAGTGGCAGAGCGGATAGACATTTATTGAGGCGGTTAAGGGGGGTGAATGGGGGGTCACGTAATGGATAAATGACCTGCCACTACCTAATCTGCTAGTATGTCTATATCAGGTATCTTATCGATTATCTATTGGTCAATTGGGACGGTACAATACTTGCTTATGTCTAAAAGCACCTGCACCCGCACCTCCACTGCATGTATTTTGGTAGGCTTGATGTACGTAATCAGGTAATACGCAATGGAGTTTTTGTATTTGAGCTGCCCCATGAGAAAATTCACTTCGTATCGAATAAGAACAGACTCAATCCAAAACACTAAAAATACTTGATTCCAGTCAGATATCGTTGGATGAGAAGAGACGACGGATGACAACAGATAATTATTGCGAACTTCGGGCAGGAGCCTTTATTGGCTACCGAAATTGATAAATTGGTTTAACCACCTTCCAATTCCAAGAATTGTACGTATACGTACCAGGTACCTAGTGTAGGTACCTGCATACATTGTACCTTATCTTACCTAAGGTAGACTCGCCAACCGCGGGGTCGGACAGTCACTGCAAGACCCTGGATTTCTCCAATCTCCAATCTCCAATCTCCAATCTCCATTATCAAAGGGGGTATGAAAAAGAAGGAAGAACAGAAAAATTCAATCAATAATCAATCAATAAACCATTTTGTCTTGTTCAACGTGATTTGAACACCATTATCGACTCACAACCAAGTGACAAGTGACAATTGCTCGCACCCAGTAAATTTGATCGTGTCTCACCCATTTCAAACCGCTAATTCGTATTACGATCAAGCTGCGCCCCTTCGTACTCGTTTCAACAAGCGCGCCTACTATCCAGTTGTTTTTACTGCAGAGATGAAATCGTTCCAAGGCTTGTGTAACTTGGCCGGTAGAATCGTTGGAACGGCTAGAACCATTAGGCTGCGTTTGGTCGACAGGGGGTCTGCATGAAGATTTTAACTGCATTATCTGATGCTCAACAAAATACTTCGCTCAATTAATTACATGTCACACCTGTTTTCTATTTCCAACACCTGAACCGTAGCCGCTGGCTAGAATATTGAGTGTTTCGACGCCAACATTTACCGCCCGAATAAGCGCTTATGGCGGCTGTCTAGAGGAGTACATGCACCTTCACTCTTTGGAAGTTATTACGCTACAAAAATGTATTTAGGATGTCAGTGAACTATTAACATAAACCTGAAATCGGGGCCCCCGAAGTTCATAGTATCCAGTCATCTCTTGAAGCACTGGTCGTGGTAGTAAGGATCGTCTAGATTCGCGGAAACGAGTCGATACCTTAAGTACTTACTCTACCTATATTAATCCTTCCATCGTAGGCCGTATTATAGACATCTATAAACACGATGCCGGAGACATATGACGATATAATATAAGCGAGCTCAGGCGAAGATGAGCACCTAGTTTAGTTGTGCTTGTCAAAGCGCTTTTCCTCTACTGATCCCAAACCGTTTCGACCCCAGATATCCTCTCCACTAGTCGATCACACATCACTCTTCATCCGATCGTCTGGTCTGTGACCGTTGACGTAGCGTATCATACCCTTTTTTCTGTAACAGCAAAGCATGCAGTCTTTATTCAGTTGAAATATGCTAATTTAACTCCATACCGACTTATTTAATGATATAGACTTAACTCCCTAATAATACTTAACTAGAGGATATTCGTCTATCTAACAGTTATTCACTTTAGCAAATCCATTCTCTCGATTTGATATTTGCCAGTTAGAATCAACTGCGCGACGTCGTCTTATTCTTCCAAGTACATACTGTCACGCCAGCTTTGAGAGACCGTAATACAGCATAAGTTGCTTAGAGTTTCTTGGGGCCGTGATAATTGTGGTTATCACCCCCCTGGTTGATGTTTATTATTGATTTTCAATATAACTAGTTCGGACAACAAGAACTTGAATGCCTTCACCTAATTGCCATCGGTGCTTGTTCATGACTTGTAATAAATGTCAGTGCCAAGGCCTTCCGATATTTCTACTCAACTACATAGTAACAAAGATATTACCTTTACATAATTGTGAGATATTATCTAACCCACGTGGGATACTATAGTCTATCTTCATGACGTCTTGGCTTCCCACGTGCCAATAAGATTCGCATTTAGACAACTCTTGCGGCTCGCTGCCAAGACTGCGTATCTCATCTACCTGGCTTATCGGGTTAAGCGGCCGAGATACTGGCATGGTCTGGATCAATTTGGAAGCTCCAATGTTTCCCATCGTGATACCACAGGTCCGGATCGAGGAGAAGAAATTTCGGAAGGGACTACATACCTACGTGCCTTATTTAAACCCGACGTCTATTCCTGCTTTCCGGTGCAAGTGAGGATCGTCACTCACCAGCCAGCTTGTGAGTAAGGACCGGGAGCACCCCGCTGCGTTGCTCGTCGTTCTCTTGTACTATAGAGACTCAACAAGTAGATTGATTCGGTCGTGCAATAATGGTTCGCGTTCCTTCTTTCTCTGTCCTCTCTATAGCTGCCAGTATAGCTGGCCTGGCTTTAGCTGAAGACTCGCTCTATAGTAAGCGCTTGTCGAAGCGCTTCATTGATGCAGACGGCAACTTTAACATCTCGTTCTACCACATCAATGATGTGCACGCGCACCTAGACGAGTTCTCTTCATCGGGGACTGATTGCACCAATCCTTCAAAGGGCTGTTATGGCGGTTATGCTCGTATCAAGACGGTCATTGACGACACACGACCGGACCATAACGACAGCTTGTTGTTGAACGTAGGGGATGAGTTTCAGGGTACTCTGTTTTACTCATTTTACGGTGGTGAAAAAATTGCCGAGACTCTCAACCAACTCGAGTTCGACGCCATGACCCTGGGAAATCATGAATTCGATGGCGGCGACGACAAGTTAGGCGATTTCTTAAAAAACCTAACATTCCCTATTATATCTGCAAATATTGTGTCGGAAAATGAGAAGCTAAACTCTACCATCAAACCGTATCATATCTTCGAGCAGTACCAACTAGCCGTTATTGGCGTGACAACTGAGACAACAGCCGGGATCAGCAATCCTGGCAACGGTACGACGTTCACAGATGCGGTCGCTGCAGTCCAAGCCTCGGTCGACGAAATCCGCAGCACGACGAACATCACTCGAATTGTAGCTATCACGCACATCGGGTACGAACAGGACAAGCGTCTAGCTCGTGAGACAACAGGCCTTCAACTTATCATGGGTGGCCATAGTCACACGCTACTTGGCGATATGGAGGGCGCCGAAGGCAAGTATCCCACCCTCGAGACGAACAAGGACGGCGATGAAGTCTTCATCGTCACCGCTTATCGCTGGGGAGAGTACTTGGGTTATATCGACGTTACGTTCGATTCAGAGGGAAAAATACTTGCCTACCACGGTGCCCCGATACATATGACGAACACCACTAAGCAAGACGAGGACTTGCAGGCACAGGTTGAAGAATGGAGGAAACCATTCGAAAAGTTTGCAGCGGAGGAGATTGGTACTACGAATGTTGTGCTCGACCAATCGACCTGTCAAAAGCAGGAGTGCACCCTGGGTGATTTGGTATCTGAGTAAGTTGCAGACAATCCGTGTGTCTTCGTTTCTTCGGTGGGTGCTAATATAGATACCTACCTCCACAGCTCAATGCTGCAATATCGTGTAGACGGTGGAAGTAAAGCAGCCTTTGCTCTCACGAATGCGGGAGGCATCCGCGCTACCATCGACTCCGGGCCTATCACGCGAGGCGAGGTGCTCACGTCTTTCCCTTTCGGTAATGCTGTGGTTGAGGTTGATTACAGCGGTGCAGACTTATGGAAGATATTCGAGGGTCTCGTCAGCGGTGTCAACCAGTTCAATCAGCGGAATGTCACTAGCTTCTTCCAAGTCAGCCGTGGCGTTAAAGTCGAGTATAACCCGAATAACGCTGTTGGCGAACGTCTTGTTCGTCTTACGATTGGTGATAAACCCGTCGATGAAGAAGCTCAGTATACGATTGTTACGGTTGATTTCATAACTGGTGGTGGTGACAATATGTTAGAACCGACTCAAGATGTGGTTATTCTTGATACTTTAGACGAGGTGCTAGTTGACCATATCCGCAAGACGAGCCCGATCGACTTCCAGCTCGATGGTAGGATAGCTACTGTTAGTGGTAACGCGGGGGCCAATAATACGACTACGGACGACGCACCTGCGCCAACCACGACTCCGAATAGTGCTGGAAGGGTGGACAGCGTGATGTCGATATACCTAGGGCTAACAGTTCTATCCGGAGTTGTGTTGCTATAGGCGAATTAATACCGTGGCCGTACTTCGTATAGAGGCTAGGTAAATAATAAACATTTTCCAACGCCCAATAAAATTCATAATAGTCTATGTAAGAAGCAGCCTGAGACATTGTCACGGTGACAATCTTATGTCGAATCATGTAGCAGCCTGGCTTCAAAGCCCGGGAGACGGTCACTTGAAGAATTAATTAAAGAAGAGCTCTCAAAGAACCTTTTACCTTAAGGAGTTACATAGATGCTTAAGATATCGATAACGATGTACCTAGGTACCCTGTATTTCTAGGTGTCAACAAAGGATTACAGGTACATATTAGGTACCTAAACAATTGCTTCTAAATTCCTCCTGTTAATTTGATTTGGTCTTTGCAACATTCAAAGCTTCTGGTCAAACGCATACTTCACAACAACTAATCGCAAACCGAGTATAGCATTCCCTCATGCCAATTCACCTTGGATAGGTACCTACCTCCTAATACAACTAATCGAATCTACTTCGCGACATCAACAACGACAACAACTGTAAATATGGCAACCGAGGACGCCCGATATAAGCAGTCAAGCCAATATCGGCTGTGGTCTTTCACCCCGTCGCATCTCGCTACCCTTCGCGAGAAGACTAACACCCTCGCACGAACTCACATCTCTAGTCGTCTACGTGCCTCAGATTCACCTGTAGATCCTTTACCTAACTTCTTGACCCCCGACGAAGAATACACCATCTTGAATCACTTCACCCTCGAGCTATTGCGCGCCGCTCCTTATTGTCAACTCCCGACCGATATCCAGGCGACCGCTGCCATATTTTTACGGCGCTTTTATCTCACCAATAGCGTGATGACTTACCCGCCGCAGGAGCTTATTAAGACCTGCATATTCTTTGGTTGCAAGGCCGAGGGTTATTTTATACGTGTACAAAAGATCGCAGATACCTTTCCGAATACGACCGGCGAGATGATTTTGGCTGCCGAATACGTTCTGTGCCAGGGCATACGTTTCGCATTCGATGTGAGGCATCCATTTCGTGCTCTAGAAGGAGCCGTTATGGAACTCAGAAGACTGGGCGACTTCGACGATGACAGGATAAATAACGCGCATAAGAGAACGAGAGAGATCTTGAAATTTAGCCCACTGGTTACCGATGCATATTTCCACTACACACCCAGCCAGATTATGTACGCCGCGCTGGCAATGGCTGACGAGGAACTGGTACAGCGTATGCTTCGAGAGGCATTCGCGGGCCAAGGCGAAGAGGACAAAGCGAAAGTATGGAGCGTAATACAAAGCTGCAAAGAAATGCTAGAGAAAGAACCCCCCGAGAAGATGACTAGCTATTGGACGGATGTGAGTGAGCGTAGATACGATTCTGATTCTTAGTAACTAACTACTAGGTAATAGCCGGAAAGCACCAAAGCCATTAAAGCTTTGCGGAGGAAGCTCATCAAGTGTAGAGACCCTGACAGGGCCGATCTAGTAGCTCTGCAGAAGGCGCGAAGGGAGGAGCCCGTGTCGAAGCCGAAGCCGAAACCAAAGGTGGGCTCGGATGCAGATGAGAAGGTATTTGGGAGTGGAACCGGCGAAGGGCGAGATGCGAAAAGACGAAAAGTTATTCCAGAAGGAGGTGACCCTTTTGGACCTCCCTTATGAACATGACTACGGGTACCAAGGGAATGATCCCCTTTATCTTCTAAGCACGAGAATTGTTCGACTAGTACAAATCACAGTTTCCCCCAAACGACGGCTATGGTAGTGGGAGCCCTTGAGAGAAACGATGCCCTCATTTTGCGCTAGGGTAGGATTCGGAAGTTCACCCCTAACCACTAGAGAGCGCAATAGCGTCGTCGTTGAGAGACATCGCTTATACTGTGTTGTCGCCCGGTATATTGAGATAGGTAGGTAATCAACCCCTACTTCATCCAATTAGTCAAATGACAGAACATTACTTTTTATCGGTCATAGATCTTGTTATAAGCTCTTCTTATACTATGTAAGTCGTAGATGTTACCTCCTGCTAATAAACAGCTTCTATAGTTACCCCATACTCAAGCGCGCTATGCCTCGGCCTTAAGGCCTTGGAGCTTTTCCTCCTGTTGCGCCTCTTGTGCTTCGAGTATCACGTCGGCCGGAATGCGATCTGGTGTAGCATTGACTAGAACTAGCATTGGACCTACAGCAACTGCCATAAGAGCGAAGGTCACACAGCTAAGGAATGTTTGTCAGTACAAACGCCGGCATTTTGTCTCAGGGAAGAGCAGTACATACAATCCGATCAAGGGATTAGCTTTGATTTGCGTATTCATGCCGTACGAAATAGCTTGGCCAACAGCTTCTAAGCACCTATCAGAAATGTTAGTTATGGCACCCGCTTTATATACGACACATCGTCGGCTCGATCAACATACCGGAAAGCTGCGCCGTTGCGAACGTTGGACTGAGCATCTGTCGCAAATGACGATAGGAGCCAATACATATACGACTGCGATAGTGGACCCGTAGTTTGGACGAAGAAGTATGGCAAGAAGGACGAGGCGTAGATCGACTCATCCCAATCGATCTTGCCGGGGTTTGTAATGTTAAATCTGGCTTGCATGATGATAGACCAAATATACACGCCCAAGTTAAGGATAACCACGGTAAATAGGCCGACTTGCGCCCTACGACGTTGACTGAGAGACTTCATGTCGAGGATAAAGCCAAGGCCGAAACATCCGATGCTGCGACTTTATTTAGCAATGAAGCCCAGATCATGAGGGCAAAAAAGGACCTCCTACATGCAGAAGAACGGGGAGACGAGTGAAGATAAAGCGCGAGAGCGGACGGAGAAGTAGGTACCAAGGTAAGTAGACCACGTACCACTACGTCGGTTAGTTTTGTGTTGAGCCAGCGTTGGTGTAGTAGCTTTAGGTACCTGTAGAAGAAAGACCAGACTGCCCATAAAGACGAAAGTAGGATAAGCTTTGAGGTCATAGTGAACTTGATGAGCTTAGATTCTTCCTTGAACGTGAGCTTCTCCGATACCAGAATGCGCGTGCCGTCGGACCGCACAACCCTCTCAAGAGGCGAGATTAGGAACGCGAACGGTAGTCTAGGTATATTAGTATATTACCTTCGCACGGGTATAATGAGTTATGCTTGGGTTGACTCGTTACTCACGCTAGACTTTCAATGATCAAGAAAGCGATATAAGTGTCGGGAGTAACTCCGCCAACTGTTCCTTTCACATGGTTCTTGGACAAGCTGAGACGAGAATCATCACCATTAGCATTGCGCTCCCTCGATGTGTTTTGGTGTGGTGTAATCGAATTACTCACTTTATAGCGCCTCCGACTAGCTGTCCGAGGTTTCTGGCGACAATCCACAATGCTAGGTATTTACCGCGAGCACCGGATGGTGCCAACGACATGATCGATCCCGATTCTGCAACGTACCAGCAGCCGCTGCCAATACCAGTAAAGAAGCCGCCGAAAATGAGGTACCATTGAGTCCCGAACTTGCTGTTACAGTAATACGATGATCCGCGAATAGGAAATGACATGGCGCCAATAACCAACGCCCACTTCGTTCCGAGCTTATTGACGATGGGACCACCAAACATACAGACGGTAGCAAGCATTGCATAGTTAATCGCCGTGCTATTTTAAAAGGTCTTAGTTAATAGATGATCTCTAAGATGCTCGCTCGGATGAGAAACGTACGCTATGTTAGACGTCTGGGGAGTTGCTAGACCACCACCGCCGAGACCCGCGATGGCGTCTGCCATTGCTGGACCGCAGAACGCTTGCTGCGTAGGTACCGAATGTCAGCCGCCGCGAATAGGGGAACTTGGAACATATTTTTGGAGGCGAAAGGTGTCAAGTGGTGAAACTTATGTTTCCGTACATACCACGCTGAGCAGAAGCATCTGTGTCAAGCTGTGCTGATGGATTCGCTTCCATAAAGGAACTGATTTCCTGTAGGCGTCCATATCGACCCTCTCATCAGCATCTTTCGTCGGGTTCATTGGGAGTGAACCCTGTCCTCGAAGTGCATCGTCATCCCCACCGGCGTGGGTATTAGGAGGTGCAGCGTCGAATTTAGACATGGCTTGAAGCTGTCTCGACTGTTATTACTATTCGTAAGAGTATAACAAGTCTGGTGGTCGGAAGTGCGAATGGAGGTTCTTAGTAGACATGCTTACGACCTTTCACCAGATATATATACATAATTAGATATATATGTATATACCCCAGCCATGTCGCGAAGTCCAATACCGAGCATCAGCTTTCCTCCGCTTATCATGGCGGCGGTTCAGATAATCTGTGGATTCTTTCCTAGGGTGGCAGTCTTAGATAGCGTAGTCCTCCTCCAGACTAGGGTAAAGATATCTCGGGGCCCCGCGATATTCTGAGAAAGCCTTTACGTTATGCGAATTGGGCACGAGAGCCACGTGAATCGTATATTCGAAGACCAAGCTGTCTTGTCCGGCTTACATCTACTCGACCGCGACCAGCGCCAAAGTAGTTAACTCGGCAGCATTTGACCAATTTAGGAAACGATAGCAGTCCCGAAGTTATGGGATCATGTAAATGGTACCGTTTGGGAGTTTTAGGGAATCAATGCCGACGCATACGACTCTGCATTGACCAATAACGTATGCGACTTAAAAGTTAATGATAAGTGACAGCTAGGAACTTTGCCGTTATTACTCGCTTTCCCTATTTTAGTAACCATAACAGTTCCGACCCGCGGGGCTATCAGCTGAGTGTAAGTGTATGTTGTTGATAACGAAGCTATTTAAACGCTGGTTACTTTTAATATACATCGCGGGTAGAGGGACGGAGGGATAGGGGTACGAGCTCAACCTCTCCACAGTCCCAATTAATAGCCGAGCATTGCTTTACGCTATCAGTGAATTTCCCTTGTCACCGGCCAACCGGAGCCGTTACTTTGAGCCTTGATTCCGTATACCCCGGGGAAGAGTACTGTGTAAGTCCACATCGCGATCAATATCGTGCCACTTGGGACTGGGGGTTGCGATTTGGCTTTGACGGAGGGGTCTTGTACGGACATGCTTCTTTATTTAATCGTCACCATTAATTGCAAATAATTACGATCTCGACTAGATAGAGGTCAAATCGTAAAAACCTAAAGCACATACACTATCTATATGAGAGTATGGCCACGTCTCGCGCAAACACGAAAATCGTCGTCGTCGGCGGAGGCGGCACAATCGGTTCGTCAACCGCTCTGCATCTTGTGCGCTCTGGGTATACACCGTCGAACATCACCGTCCTCGACACGTATCCTATCCCTTCTGCGCAATCCGCCGGAAATGACCTCAACAAGATTATGGGCATCCGATTACGGAATAAGGTCGACTTACAGCTGAGCCTGGAGGCGAGAGACATGTGGAAAAATGATGAATTGTTTAAACCCTTCTTCCATAATACTGGCAGAGTAACTTGGACATCACCCTCTTCGCGCATCTCTTGGACGCTGACGCGACTTAGCTTGACTGCGAGGGAACTGAGAAAGGTATAGCCTCTCTCCGACGGCAGTATCAAGACCTACTCGACGCAGGTGCTGGGTTAGAGAAGAGTAACGAATGGTTGGATAGTGAAGATGCAATTTTATCTAAGATGCCGCTGTTGCAACGAGACCAAATCAAGGTGAGATCTCCCAGTCAGTATATACGTCAGCGAGATAGACTAATACGAAGATTATGTAGGGATGGAAAGCCATATTTAGTAGCGATGGTGGTTGGTTAGCCGCTGGTAAGGCAATCAATGCCATCGGCGAAGAGTTGCGTAGTCAAGGGGTCAATTTCGGATTCGGAGGGTAAGGAAGGATACTGCAGATTTTCTTATTGGGTGGACTTACGGATTCACTAATTTGAGACTTGAACAGCGCAGGGTCTTTCAAGCGACCACTCTTCGGAGACGACGAGTCGATATGCATCGGCGTTGAAACGGTAGATGGGACCAAATACTACGCTCACAAGGTCATTCTAGCTACCGGAGCTTGGAGTCCCGCGTTGGTAGATTTGGAGGATCAATGTTGTTCTAAAGTACGTATTTCTATATTCGATGGGTAGAGATGTCGTAATACTAATCAGTAATAATAGGCATGGGTATATGCCATGATACAATTGTCGCCTCAAGAAGCTGCCGAGTATAAGGACTCGCCTGTGGTATACAATGGCGATATTGGTTTCTTCTTCGAACCTAACGAGTAAGTAGCAATCCTATAATGAAGACTTGCATGAAGTAAGAAGCCAACAGTCTCTAGAGACGGTATCATCAAGGTCTGCGATGAGTTTCCGGGTTTCACTCGGTTTAAGCAGCATCAACCATACGGCGCCGCAAGCCCCAAGCGTATATCAGTTCCCCGATCTCACGCAAAGCACCCTACGGACACGTATCCCGACGCATCAGAGAAGTCGATCCGTAGAGCCATTTCGACATTTCTGCCGCAGTTTAAGCACAAGAAGCTCTTCAATCGAGCGCTGTGCTGGTGTACAGACACCGCGGACGCAGCATTGTTGATCTGCGAGCACCCCAAATGGAAGAACTTCATTCTTGCTACAGGAGATAGCGGGTAGGTAGCCAGATAGCTCGTTAGGAATCGTCACTAACGTCTACAGACACACTTTCAAACTTTTACCTATTATCGGCAAGCATGTGGTCGAACTGGTAGAAAATAATCTAGCAGAAGACCTTGCGCATGCGTGGAGATGGCGACCGGGAGGCGATGCTCTCAAGTCGATACGTGCGGCGCCTGCGAAAGACCTTGCAGATATGCCCGGATGGAACCACGATGATAATTTGAGCAGGGAGAAACTATGAACTGGAATAGGGGGTAACTAACAGGTACCTAAACAGCAAGCAAACATATTATTCAAGGAGTGCCTTTATCTTCCGTTACTTGTGATGGTGACGGCTTTTCGACAAGTTATGATTCCATCCTGGCAACATGCCAAGAGACGTTAAACCATTTTCCAGTGAGCTTCTGATCGGCTCTCACCTGTACAATACATACATTCAATCCCTTACCTCCTCCGTTATCTTTTAGGGGAGCGAATCCCAGTTGCCTTCAACCAAGCGTACAACAAGAATTTATCTACACCACGCGGTCTATTCAACCTCGTCACGGAACCATAAACTTTATTACATTAGATACGTAACGTCTATGTAGATATTTATTCATCGATTTCCGTCGCGTAAGAATTCAACTAGCTTTCCCCGGATTTCTCGCAATGTTCCATGCAAGACGGGGCGCCCGGCCTTGGAGGATTCGGTTCCGTCCCGGCGGTCATTAAGCGGTAAGCCAACGTCTAGATAACCAGAAGCAGTGCGAGCAGTGTTATCACAGGACATGATGGTTCGCCCTGACGTGCAACGATATCCTAGCAACGTGGCATTTGGTTCTGACCACCTCCCTGATCTGGTATCGAGCTTCCCCGCGATAACGCATGGGTAACGTGCGGAGTAGATAAATACCTGTAGGTATATATGTAATACATATTATGTAGGTATGTATGTGAATTCCTGTGTTATTTATTGAGAGGGTTATCATTATGACTTATGTCCCCATACGGATTTCCTTTTGACCGCCACACATGACAGCTCCGAGCAGATATACTCTTATTACGAAGTACATGTCGCATACGCATGAGTCGTAACAATGGCGGACGTCGAAGCAGGGCAAAAGGACGAGATCAAGACGAATCTCGCTGATAATCAGGAAGATGTCATCGGTGACCTAAAATCAGAACAGGAAACGCGCAATGTCGGTACCCTCGATCGCAAGCTTAAGTCTCGACACGTTCAGTTCATGGCCCTATCGGGCGCCATTGGCACGGGGCTTTTCGTTGGAAGCGGTCAGGTCCTATCGCTCGCCGGCCCTTTGTCTGCCTTTCTTGCCTACTTAATCACGGCCTTCAACGTATACTGTGTGGTTCATAGCCTAGGCGAGATGGCAGCGTATCTCCCCTTACCAGGCGCTGTCCCCGTGTACGCTTCGCGATACGTCGATGAGGCGTTGGGCTTCGTCCTCGGCTGGAATTATTGGTACCAACTTGCTATCGGCTGCCCGATCGAGGTGACGGTGTCAGTCGTCGTTGTAGACTACTGGCCAAACGACGTTCCCAAAGCTGCGCTGATCACCGTCTTCTTCTTGGCGATGGTTATTATCAACTGCTTCCCCGTGCGTGTATATGGCGAGGCAGAGTTTGCTTTCGGCGCTATTAAGCTCACGACGATCGTCGGGTTGATCCTCCTCATGTTCATCACTACCTTGGGCGGGACGCCTAGTGGTGAGAGGATCGGGTTTAGGTATTGGAATAACCCGGGACCGATGAACGAATATCTGACGACAGGGTCGCTCGGGAAATTTCTTGCCTTCTGGAAGGTATTTATACAAGCCACGTTCTCGTACGGAGGTTCCGAGATGGTGGTGATTGCTAGCGGCGAGACCGAGAACCCACGACGTAATATTCCCAAGGCAATCCGACGGGTTTTCTGGCGGATCGCCCTCTTCTATGTTCTTGCTATATTCATGGTCACTCTATGCGTGTCTTCCCAAGACGGCCGTCTCCTAGATGCCATTAAGAACTCGGCCCCCGGCGCCGCGGCATCACCTTTCGTCATCGCTATCGAGAACGGTGGAGTTAAAGTCTTGCCTTCTATTATTAATGCCGTTATCCTCACTTCGGCGTGGTCCGCTGGCAATTCTTTCTTCTATTCATCAACCCGAGTCCTATATGCCGCTGCATTAGACGGTAAAGCACCCAAGTTTCTTAGGTACGAGAAATGGGGTGTCCCGTATGCTTGTGTCGGCGCAACGACAGCTCTTAGCTTGCTGTCCTACATGAACGTGAATAACCAAGGAGAAGAAGTCTTCTTTTGGTTCTCAAATATCTCAGCTGTCTCAACGCTAATTGTCTGGTCGGCTATTTGCGTTACCTACTTGCGCTTCTATTACGGCTTACGCTATAACGGGATCTCCCGAGACTCTTTGCCTTATAAGTCACCTTGGCAACCGTTCCTAGCTTACTTCGCCATATGCTTCTGTCTCCTTGTCGCGATTTTTAACGGGTACGATGCTTTCTTCCCCGGGAAGTTCAGCGCAAAGACGTTCGTGCCACCTTATATTGACATCCCGATATTTCTCTCCCTGTTTTTGGGATATAAAATAATTAAACGGACGAAACTGGTTAAACTAAGCGACATGGACCTGTGGAGTGGCAAGGAAGAGGTTGACCGCTTGGAGGGCACATGGCCGGAAGTGAAGCCAAGAAACTTCCTAGAAAGAATTTGGTTCTGGGTTGCATAATATTCCAACCTAGGTACTTGAAGATATGATTGATGGAAACAATCAAAGCGACTGTCTTTATAACCCGGTAATATCGGGTATTACTTGATATAAACTAATATTGAATATGTCTCATACATTACGTTAATGGAACACGGATACCCCTCATAATTTCCTTCGCTTATTCGTTATTGTCATTTGCCTTCCTTTTTATTCTCAGTTAAGCACAACCAATATTCCTCACAAGTTTACGATAATGGCTGCACCGCCAAAGAGAGCAGCAGCGCCAACAGCACCAGTCTTCATGGGCATAGCTGCGGCTTCTGAAGTAGTTGTCTCTGCCGGACCGCCTGCTGATGTGGCGGCGGGGAAAGTGGTAGTAGGGGTTGTAACGCCACTAGTGAAAGGTACACCTTCAGGTGCGGTGCTGGCGTCGGTGAACGCAGGTGTAGCTGACGTAGCTGTTGTGTCGGGGGCCGCAGACGTGTTGTTTGGGTTTAAGACTCTGGTTCGTGTGTTAGCAAGATATACTAAGTGTGTGGCTGCGCTATGGGAGGGGGCATACTGGTCGACTACGTGGACGACGCCATTCTCCAGCAAGATATCGGGAACCGTGATTTTTGCCGAGTTAGCATATACAGTACCGTTCACCACGGTGATGGTGATGTTCTGTCCGTTGGCGGCAGTAAGCGTCGTATTTTGCATTTCTGAGCTATAGTTGACGGAGCCGTTGATGACATGGTAGCCGATAATGTTAGTCAACTGGTCCGAAGTCATGTTGCTAATGATGCTTCCAATGGCGTTAAAGGCGTCGTTATTCGGGGCGAAGATGGTAATGTTAGGAGTGTCAACCACCGAGTCAGTCAGATTGGCCATGTCGACAGCACCCTCAGCGGCAGTGAGGTTTGCGTTGGATAGAGTCTCCGTTACATTCTGGGGAATAACGAGGAAACTATTTATAATGTGAATTGTACCGCCAGTGAAGTTCACATTCTACGAGATCATAAGTTGGGGTTCTCCTTTCCCTATCCAAGCGACGTACTTACAGGGGTGATGATGGTGGCATTCTCCTTCATGGCACTGAAGAAGGTCACGTTATTATCGTAAAGCCGGGCCTCAACAACCTGACCACCGGTAACGTTGGTGTATGACTCGTTGGTCAGCAACGTGGGGATGAAGACTGGTTCGTCATTAAAACTATCGTTGTAGTATGTGCCATTGAGGACATGGTAACTCAGAAAAGCCTGCAGATAATCGGAGTTGGTGAGTAGTAAGGAAGTTTCAGGGTTGCTAGTCAGAGCACTCCAAGCATCGTTGCTAGGGGCCAGAATGGTGACGTTCTGCAACTCGTTTAGGGAATCGGAAAATTCGGAGTTGGATACAAGAAGAGCTATCTAATATGAGCCATAAATCTAAGTGCTAGGGGAGGTGTATCATCATACCATTCAGAGACGACAGCGTCGAGTTTTGAGAACCCAGAGCGTTACTCAAGCTGGGTGTCTGAGCGGCGGCCAGAGAGGCAAACGCCAAGAGAAGGGCCGTCTTATACTGCATGGTAGCTAACTGACGGCGAGAAAGATGAGAAAGCTACACTGAATGTGATACGCAGCCGGTGTCACGAATATTGCTCGATGGTTAACTGCCCAGGAGGTACATGTTGGAAGAGGAGGGATGTTCGGGGTGTGGCCTCCTCCATTTAAAGAAGCTCTCTCCGCAACCATTGACGGCGAACATCGCGGGGTCGTTAACCAAAACAAAGACCTGATGAAGTCATGATGTCGAGGATCAGGGCCAAGACGACGACATGGCCTAACTGCGTGCCTAAAGCTAATCAAGGACGATACATGCTATAGGCCTAGCTTCTGGCACGGCGTTGATGACGAGGCAAAAGCTAACGTAGACCACTAATCGTGCTTGTTTAAGCCGCCCTATCCGAGTTGTCAGCCACAACTTCAAACAAGACTACTGAAACAAAAGGATACAAATCCCTTGCGTACCATTCTGTAAAGAATCCAGACAATCCTCTTAGATGTCACCATTTTGTATTCAAGTATATCGGTTTCATGAAGTTCTCATAAATCTTACTTCCTACTTCCTACTGAGGGATGATTTCTTAGCCGCGAAATTTATGTCGTCAAGTGAGGATCATGTTAGTTGATGGATAAACAATACCTTAGCTTCGAGATTGGGAGATTTGGTGTAGTTAACTGTTGGTTCGTTCTCCGCATTTCGGGGATATGATGGCTATTAACGTGATCTTTCCAAGGAAGATCGAAGTGGCTTGGTAACTTAATGTCCCAAACTTAACATAGGTGACCTAGGAACATGTATCGTTTCTACATATGAGACCACTGGATAAGAAGGACCGTGGGCAGCTTCGAGTACCCCCTTAGACACAATATTCCAAGCGTCATAGACACAAGACAATGATGACAAGCAGGCACGTGATAGATTTTCTGCATTACATTCTAAAAGAATCTCATACCTATTCCAGCGAGTTCGATGAGCTATGTTAAGCCAAATAACTGTAAAGACTTAACTTTATCCGAGTTAGGTTAAATATAATAAAAAATGAGGTTAACCTAGCCGTATCGTGGGATTGACCTGGGAGCCCTTATAAAGCCACACCTACGAAGGTCCGGGCCAAAAGTCTTGCACATGTAAAAGTCCCTAGCACTGTATTCAAACGTCGTCCCTTTCTATTATTACTGTATCAACCACCTGCCAAGTTTTTATCGCCGCGTGGTTAAAGGTGCGTGGCTTTCGTAATCAGTATGCAGCCTGCGTTTTAAGCGAGGCAGTTATGACAAGGCTGCCGCTGTGAATTCCTCCTATATTTCTCCTATATATTTAGGTGAGGTTATTCACGCTGCGTCTTATTATCTTCACCTGTAAGTGCTCGGTGACGTTAGGCCGCCCGATCGCACGCATAAGCGTTGCATCGCCGATTTGATAAGTCATAACCTATTGAGCATATAGGGGTAGCGAGTTCGATGAGTCAATTAATAGCTTGACCTGACCTGGACCTGACCTGACCTGGCTTGGGTAGATCGTAAATATTTTTTATTTGTGTGACAAGTACGTATATTAACGATGTACGTATTATAACCAGGTAAGCCCTATAAGCTTATACCTGACCTGACTTGACTTATCGAACTTGCTATATAGGGGAGGCTTCCCTCCTCTTTTTACTCCCTCCTTTTGCAGTAACTCCTTATCCCTTTTACTCCCACAATATACTCTCTCCTTTTTCGAGATAATGGCTACCTCTGTTCTCACAAGTAGAAACCGACCGGCCCGCGATGGCGCTGCGCCCTCAGGCGCGTCTAATGCGGTCCGACGGGCAGTATGTTGTCAGCATTGTTGTTACGAGCTGTCTATTTGGAAGCCCGGGTCCGAGCATCCCTCGTGCCTCGAGCCACCAAGTAGGTTCCGTTGCTGTCGTTGTGTGGTTCCTGCTAACTGAAAGTAGATGTCTCCGCAAAGTGCGCTCGGTGCTTTGCTGCCCGCAAGTATTGCGTCCCGATGCCCACAAGGTATCGGCATATTGTTTCGGCTGTTGAGTCTGCCATGCGCTCTAATCCTGGAGCTCGTCCGGTACGTTCGAGATAGCCGCTCCCTCCTGTGATGTAGATACTAATGAAACATTGAAAGAATGTGGTAATTAACGCTCAGCGTGATCTTCAACGGGTGTTGCAGGGGATGAAAAATGCGACGCGAATGAGGGCTGAGAAGTTATCGCGCGAAAAGGAGGTCGATCGCCAGAAGAGATTGGTCTTAGTCGTGGAGAATATCAGCGTCCGTCTCCTAAAGCTTGAGGAGCTGTTGAGCCGGTTTCCTCAAGAGGTCGCGGTCGCCATCACTGTAAGTTGGTTCCCTACCGCCGGGGTAGCTGCGTTAACGAAGTGAATGTGTATGTTAGGATACGCTTAATCCAAGCCCTGCCTCTTCGTTCGACTTCGATAGTCCGATGGGTAGTCCTAGCCGTTAGTTGGAAGACTTGGAGTATGCCGGGGAGTGACGGTCCAGCGGAGTAGCTGCGTAAAATATTATTATTATTTACAAAGTCCAGCCCTCATCTCCAAGTTAATTTTCGAATACTCCCAATATATTACTATTGCAGTGACACCAGCCCTTCATGCCAGTCCTCTATCATTCTTCTAAGAAAACCCTCTTGACTACCCAGGTATGTAATGTAGGTATTATTCAGTAGTCTATCCGTCAACTGTTCCATGTGAAATATCTCGAAAGCTAAAATATACGGCATGGATAACGTCCCTAGCATCTACTCGAATGCGATAAGTCCCTTCTCGCTGAGTGATTCTTCACTGGATGATGTAGTTACTGACTCTTGTCGATCCTGCTCCCGGAAATCTAGCCACGCCGAAATCATGAGTACCACAGAGAAAAGGGAGATTAAGAGGCCAAGCCAGCAGGAAACTACTCGCCGCCCACACAGAAATGCGTCGGAATGTGAATAGACGTCAGTGCGGCTACTATGACCCCATGCCGACAAATCAGTTTCGTTTTGCCCGGTATGATCATTCGGATTCCCGGAGCCGATACTGGTACATATTTTGTTAAATATCCCAGCGCTCGCTGACGCGTATGTAAATGTAATGAAGGCGAATATGGCATTCAAGGAGAGTATTGCCATTAATGTGTATCTAAGACACGTTCTTGTCTGTATTGCCATTTGGTTAGCATTGCTGCGTAGGTAGGTACCTAGATTCCGTAAGCTATTTTGATAAATCCTTACACATTTCGACGGATTCCTCGTGAAGAATAGACGAAGAGTTTCTATCAATATAGATACTACTAAGCTAAACGTCGAGCTTAATAGTAATAGACTCTCGGTAAGGGCATATGGTCGTTTGAATTCAAAGAGCAACCATAATTTACCGCTCTTTATCCATGTGGTAACCTGTTTACCGAGAAGTACGAACCAAACTAGATAGATGATAGCTGCGAATATAATTGAAACCATCAAAGATCTTATTAAAGATCTCTTTCGTTTCGTCGTTGGAGGTTCTAATGTGATCGACATTGTTGATTTGATTGGTATTAGTTGAACTTTTCTGAAAATAATCAGAAGTGTTTATGTGCACTGTCTGAGATATGGGTGAGCCGCAGGCAACAACACAAGTTGACTTCTGAAGTTCTTTTAAAGCTTCCATACCCAATGAAGGTCATAATATTTTTAGGAACTATCTCCAGCTCTGTATACCACTAAGGCTCTATTCGCAGTGAGGATCATAACCCTAGTGCGCGTTGAATGCTTGGCAGACATAGTAGGCTATTACATATCCGATCAGCCAAGCGGAATGGCCGTTCTAGATCATAATAATAGAGTTAGGAGATAGGATTTAATTATAGGGCAGCCTAGATGTCATCGGGTTAATAAATCCTTGTTAAATACCTGCATGGAAGGTGGTATGATGCTGTTTTGAGGTACAATATTCACCAGTCCATCGACGCTCAGTCTTCCTAATATCGCTCGCTCATCAAAGATGTTTTTGGTGTGCTGATAGGGGGTGTTTATCATTACGTTCTCGTGTTTCTGTCTCACCTAACGCTACCTAGGTTATACATCAGTGACTGCAGTTTATGCTATGCATATGTACCTCTTGACAATGTAAATGAGTCGATGTTGAATCGTTCGTATAATCTAAAGTTGTAAGCGGGAGACAAGTAATAATATATATTTCTGTAAATTAGCTATAACGGACGCTTATAAGTGGAAACAGACCAGATATTCCTAACAAATCCAACTTCCGATACTCGAATCAGTTGCCTGGTTCAAGTTTGATTGCTTTAACCTGTCGGACATTCCAGTTTTGACATAGCGCCACATCACAACTGGCCCAAATTATCTCAAGAGTGTAAGACTTATACTGTGTTATTCAACTATAAATAGTTCCTATAAATGTCAGTGTGTATAGGTAACCGTAGGTTTCCGTAACTAGGTACCTAGGGAGCTTAGAGTTCCTTACGGAGCAACGGAATAGTTTCCATGCTTCTTGCTCCACCTCATCACAAGTAGTAAGGGTACTTACTGGCTTCAACGCTTTGCCCAATATTACTCGGTATGACACACGGTCAACCTAATGCCAATATTGTAAATATTTGGCACCGTGTCGCTGCCCAAGTAACATCGCTATAGCATCCTCCGGGCTGCCGCCAATAATTCCCGTTGCTACCATCCCCTTTACGAAAGGCGTTAGGGTGAAAGCGAAAGCCGTAAACGTCCACGCATAGCCGACAGCAATCTCAAACCAGAGAAGATCCTGCTTTCGTTTAGGGTTTATAGCATTTCTCCAAACCCATTGAACGGAATCCTCAAGAGTAATAACTAAGGGTTGCATCATGAAGAAGGCAAACTCACCCTTATCCCCACGTGTAATCACATACTGCTGCCACCAGTGAATACAAAAGCTAATGTAGAATGCTAAGTAAAGTTGAATATAGCGAGAAGGGATAGAGCCTTTCTTAAAACCAAGGAGTCGTGCGAGTCTGATACCGGGTTGCTGTACGGTCTATAGGGAAACCGATGTCAGTTATCCAATCTGGATTATATTACACATAACACGATTTTTGATTGTCTACTCACCCTACGCAAGATTTGATGATACGCGACACTATTTGGGCTTAGCATTAACATCCATCGTTATTGGTTTTGCGCACAGTCGGTCGAACCACTTACCTCCACGTCCTCCTCACACTCGTAGCCGTCGCCACTGAATTCAATATTGGCGGCCACTCCCAGGGCTCAGACATACCCAGGAGGACGGCAATTGCTGATATGGCCACGTACCCAACACCGACCGTATTCCAGGACCATATTGCGCCACACCAGTTTTCAACTACTCTGAGAAGCCAACCCATCCACGGTGATGATGATGGTGCGTCCTGCTGGATCGCCCCGCAGAACCCGATGATGTAGAGGGATATTAACTTTACCAAAGTATGCAAGGCGAGATCCAGCATCCTCTTCCCCACGAATTTTAAGCGTGAAAAATCTGCCTCTAAATGCCTCGGGACGCTTTTGACTTCCCAGTCCCATCCAATGCCACGTAGGGTCGTAGCTAGGCGGAGCGCCCACGCGAGGCGTTGGGGCCACGTCTCGGGGTCACGTCGTGTAATACTCTCGTTATCTTTTCTCGACGAGGATTCATCTCTTCGACCTACCCAGCGTGGGTTCGTAGCACTGAAGTCTAGGAATAATAGTACGAAAACGATGAACCAGCCGGAAAGACCGTAGTCCTGCGCCGTGTTACCAACGGTGTAGCATGGCCTCCGGAGAGCGAAGAGGACCAGCAATAAGCTGATGGTAGTTGTCCGGATTGGGTCGGGTCCTATTGCATAGCCGAATACTAGTACCATGAACGCCCCGGGTATATATAGGACCGGTAGCGGCGAACGTTCCTCGATGAGAGGATATAAAGTGTTTATGAAGCGCTCAAGCATCTTGATTACCCTGGGGACCCTGGCGTAAACTCTAGCTGAAGTGTTTAGCAGAGCAGCAATGTTTAGCACAAAGCTCACTTTTGGATTTGTTCAGGGAAATCGTCCAATCACAATCTAGTTTCACAATCCTCAGCCGTTTGACACGCCTAGGATAGTTTGACATGCTGTTAATATACCCTGGAACTTGGGCATATATCAGGTGGGCGCTCCGCGGCATGCCTCTCATATCATCTCATCCCATCTTGGAAAATCGGCTGGTGTTAATGTCGAAAATAGATCAAACAAATATAACGGAGCTCACCCGGGAGCTTTTAGTCTATGAATATTGCTATTTACACAAGTGGGATTATTGTTTTCAATCAATGTACGTCATTCATTGGTCGTCCTAAGTTCCATGATACACCCGAAACCACGCACCGAACCGAGCAGAGTAGGTTACATTATCTTCTGCGGCCTAAAATATGATCGTCTATGCTGATCTGCGGCGGCGCACGACTGAGCGTCGCCGGTTGTTGTTATTGTTGTTGTTGCGACCGCCTCTTCCTCCGCCGTTGTTGCCGTTGGCATTGCCATTGGCGGCGTTACCGTTGGCATTGCCATTAGCGGCGTTACCATTGGCATTGCCATTAGCGGCGTTACCATTGGTGTTAGCATTGGTGTTACCGTTGGCATTACCGTTGGCGTTGGCGTTGGTGTTGGCATTGCCATTGGCATTACCGTTACGGTTATTACCGTTACCACCCCGGTTGTTGCCGTTACCATTGGCTTTACCATTACCATTGTTGTTGTTGTTGTTATTGTTGTTGCCAGTGTTACCAGTGTTAGCGGTATTGCCAGCATTAGCTTGGTCCTGTGCAAGTCCGTTGGTCGACGGGTCCGCGGCTTGGATTCCGTCTACGATTGCTGTACCGATCTCCGCGTCAGAGTCTCCAGATTCCGAGAGCGCCTTGACGGCCGCTGGAAGATCAGCGACGTTCTGTTGGATCTGAGTGGTGATGCCCTCTAACGACTGGAATGCTTCGATAGTCCCAGGCGTATTTTCAGCGGGCGTAGTGTCGGTTTGCTGCACTGCGACACACCCGCCGAATTCGTTCGCATTACGGCATCGTATAGTACAAACGTCACCAGTCGATGCTAAGAGAGAACAACTCATTAATCATACTATTTGGGATCGCTCTGGATTTGGTATAAACTTACCTCCGATGCATGCCAAGTCGTTGGGCATGGTCACCTGGAGAGTGATTTCTCCATTTGCATTGGCCTTGCTTTCGGTTGTGGTAACATTGAGCTGGCCTGTGGCTCCGGCCGTGTTGCCCGTCGGGTCAAAATCGCAAGTATAAGGACCAGCACCGGTCTCGTTAACTTGGCGAATTGTGATATTCACCTTGCTGCCCTTGGTCACCTGGGTGACTTGGTTTGCTGCCAGAGCATCCTCGGTATTAGCGCCCACATCGACATTGCCGGCTTGCAGAGTCCTCCCGCATTGGTTCACCAAGTTTGTCACGATCTCGGTTTGCGATATGAAGTTGGCGTCACTAGTGTCGTTGGCATTAACTTGAATGGGTATTAGTAAATGTGCACTAGGAATAGACACGACTCTAGAAAACATACCTTGTAAGCCGAGACTCGCCGGCGATCCTTTCGTTCCTTGGGCTTTGATAATAACACCTTGACCGTGAGCCACTGCCAGAATGGCCGAGGTAGTAATGATCTGTCTAAGGGAAAACATGGTGTTCACAGAACTAGAAGACGAAGAATAATACTATATAGTTATAATGAATGAGAAACGGAACGCTGTAAGAAAACAATTAATTACCCAAAGAATCGAAGCAGACCGGCTGAGTACACGAAAATGACGAAGATGAACGGGAGATGAACGGGAAAATCGTAGATCAGAACAAGAAATTCATCCTTTCCAGAGTCGTCTCATCTTATACGGATATATACCTAGAAGCACATCATCTAACAGCATCTAACAGGAGGTCGTTCCACTGCCGTTGCGTGTGGGTGGGGGGGTTCTCGCCCCTGGTCCTGACCCCTTGCTGAACCCCTTGAAACGTCCCGTAGTCGAGACGAGTTACCTTGAATGCCCCCTTCTATCGCACTAAAACGACGGCATCTAATGGGCATCTAACGAGGTTGCTTTGTCTTCTCGGAGTTTGACGAAACCGAAATACAAAACCCCTTGAGTCTCTTATATCTTGTCTCGTTTGGTGGAGAAACAAGCTGCGGCCAACTTCTCTCCACATATTCGGAGATAATAATCATCTCTTATAAGAACAATAACAGGTATTTGGGCAGTAGAATCCGGAACGCTCAAACAGTCCAGACAGTATGACGCGGTCAGTTAGTGTAGCTTTTTAATGCATTATCATAAAACTTGCCTTGTAGCTACAATTTATTTTCCTTTTTTTTTTCTTGTCGTCGTCGTCGTCGTTGTTGTTGTTTCTATTAACATCATTTATTCCTCGTACCTTAGTCGCCCACAGCTGTCTCGTCTCATGTTGGTCATAGCCACCTCCACGCGCACGTACACTACGAGTAACCGAATAAATCAACTTTCAAAAGTTGACATAACCCTTTCACCAAGTCGCTTCAAGTTGCTGTAACTTTCCAATAACCTGCCCATGTCTCCGTATGTCCATGTCTCTGTATGTACGCGAATTATGCATCTTTACAAGGCAGGGCGCGTGTTCCCCACGTTTCCCATCATTTCCCATCATTTCCCATCATTTCCCATCCCTGGCCGTGTACTTGAATACCTAGGGTACCTATTAACTAGCCTTTTCGTACTGCGCCTTTGGCGAAATACCCTTCGTCAACGCAAAGATGTGTCCCATGATGTGAACCTCACCAGAATTCCCGCCCTGTATCATATAATCAAATTGCTCAATAACCGGCCTATCATCTTCACCACCTATCCAGTATTTGATGCCTTCGTTGTTTTCTCCTGCATCTGCGGCTCGGCCGTACATCGCATCGCTAACTTGCTGAATGAATATATCCTTCGTGATACCATCCCCTGAATCCTTCGGCGCTCGGATCTCAATGACTTCGCAGTTTGTTTCCGCAATGTCGCAGGGACAACAGTAATGACTTGAGATAGGCCATTCTGATACTCGCACTTCGATGTAAGTCCGTGGAGGCGAGAACAGCGCTCTGGGTATATTCTCATCAGCTTCGGCTTGAGTTCTTATCTGCTGCCATATAGCTCTCTGGCGCTCGTTGTGCAGCTCACGAGAATGACAATCGTTATACGGTCTAGTACGTCTAATCGCAGCTGCGCACGCAGCAGTATGGCTTTGAACTAAGTCATCGAGCCGCGAAAATCGAAAGATATGATTGCCTTCTCTGTAACCTTCGTGACTAGGCTGTTGCGGATCTATTATCTCGGGGTCGTTTTCTTCGTCATAGTAAGAGTCGTCCAGTTCAACCACATGGGGTTCAGATAACATAATAGATGTAGGAGTTGGTTTGTTCTCTTCCGCCATGATTGGGTGTGTCGTACCTTAGGCACGCATGGAGACATAGCTAAGAGACGATCCAACGGATGGTCAAGTCTATGGGCTTTATAAGTAACTCTTAAGAATGTTAAGCAAATGGCCCATGTTGACTGCTCAATAGTATTCTCAATAGTATCGCGTCATGACTCATACGGTCAGACCGTGGTTTAAGTTAATGACACCAAGAGAAGATCACGCCTAACTTGCTAGGATAAACATGATTTCTTTTTATTTCAACGTCCTTTATTTTCTTATTTTCAGCATTTGACGCAGTTAGAATTGTACCTTTTCATGGCGTTTACTCAGCTTGCCCTGTTCCTCTTTAGTAAAACGGCTGGCTATCGACACGAATCAATTCCTGCGGGCATTGAGGGCATCCGACGTCTTGGCGTCACATCTAATGCGTCCACCGTAGACTCCTCGGAAGATGCATCTCTCATCAGCGTCCAAAACCTATCCCGATACGCAGTCGTCATATTCTTGCAGACTAGCGGTGACCTTCTCAACGATGAACAATTAGCCGGATTGCAAAGCTACGTGAGAGCCGGGGGAGGGTTCGTAGGGGTTCACTGTGCCGCAGCTGGGATGACGAGAGAACCGTGGTACGGAGAACTCATCGGTGCCGTCTTTACTGATCATCCGGAGCCACAGCTCGGCGTCCTAACTATTGAAAAAAAAAAATACAATGTTATCGTCTCCGACTTACCAGAGAAGTGGGAGTGGTTTGACGAATGGTACAACTTCGATGCAAACCCCCGCGCGAAGGTTACCGTGATACTATCTATCAATGAAGAGACTTAACTCCTTTTACACATCCCTAGGTCACTTCGGGGACGCGTATTCGGATCAGAACTTCATAGGCCATTTACTAAATGGTATGTTATGGGCAACATATGTGTCATAGTCTTACTCGGATCTTATTATCTACCCGCTCCCCGCATGTCTCCTTTTTTATAATCCTCGAGATGGCGACTAAGGTAGGATGGCCATGCGGAGTAGCTAGGAAGAGCTAAAGCTAAGGCCGCATGAATGCTACAACACCTACAACACCTACAACACCACAAGCTCCGCTCGCGAAGTGCCTCCCCGCCTCTTTGTCTCTTTACCTCCACATCCTCCACATTCCTTACGACAGACTTTCAAGATTTAAAGTGGGCATTCTTTATACTAACAATCAGTCGTACATACGATAGCTATTGCTTTACGGCATTGTACCTCTCTATTTTTTTTTTTAAAAAAAAAAAACTTCACTTCTTAATTTAGCAGCTACTTGCTCTCGATGTCAGATGTACCGAAGCCGAGCTGAAAGCTAGACACGACAAGGATAAGAATCTTTGGCTGCAGATGACGTATCTACCGGCACGGATCGGAGTTGGAGTGGAATGATTCCTCCCGAAGGATCGCAAAGAGAAATAATAAATATGTGCCTAGCTAGGCGGATTAAAAACGATGCCTTTGTGCGTTTGATTCCCCTACTTCTTTAACAACGGAGCCATACAATATGAGAATTCAAACCCCCTTAGCCACGAACGTGGTAGGGTCCCTATTCCCCTTATTGGCGTTGTGTCAAGATAACGCGAATTGTAAGGGATGGTTTATCATTACCTCTTAATTGAACAATTGCAATAGCTCACTAACTACCTAGCTCATAGGGATTTCCGTGGGTGATGACGGTCGTTCATTTTCTCTATCTTCCTCCAATGTCTCCTATCAATTCCACGTTGATCCGTTGACGTTGGATTTGATTCATGATCACTGGGGCGCCTATGCGGCCGAGACGGTTCCCGACTTTAACGGAGTGGTATCTGGATGGGGAACTGCATACACGTACCGTCGGCGCGAGTTTCCCGATCTTGGTCGTGGCGATTTCCGAGTGCCAGCAATCCATATTCAGCACTCCGACGGGGACACCGTATCGGCATTTTCGTATACGGGGTATGATATTAACCCAGGAAAACCGTCTCTCCCCGGCTTACCAGCCACTTACGGCAGCGAAGGGGATGTATCAACACTCATTATACACTTATACGACAACTACTCCGATATCTCTGCGGACCTGTACTACTCCATCTTTCCTAGGTACAACGCTGTTACCCGTAGCTTTAGGATTACGAATAATGGAAGCCGGGATGTAACGGTGCTTCGAGCTAGTAGCTGGAGCATAGATATGCCGAACGAAGAATTAGAGATGATTGATCTATATGGTGACTGGGCGGCAGAGGCTCGCATTAATAGACGCTCGGTTACCTATGGAGAACAAGGGTAAGCTGGACATCTTCTGTAGTTTTTATCTTCCTTTGCATTGGGTAACCCCTGAGATCTTTTCCCAATAACTAGTCCTAATCAACTAACGATTCTGTCAGTTTCCGCTCGTCTGCGGGGTACTCGTCTCACTTCCACAACCCATTTCTTGCCCTGGCTTCTCCGAGCACTACCGAGTCTTTCGGTCCGGTGACCGGTTATTCATTGGTTTATACAGGCTCATTCTCCGCCGACGTCGAACGCTGGTCGACAGGCTGGGTCAGAGTTCTCCTTGGTTTGAACCCGCTGCACCTCTCGTGGCCTGTAGCGCCAGGGGAGGTATTTACTTCCCCCGAGGTCGTTTCTGTCTACTCAGAACAAGGGTTAGGAGGAATGTCCCGATCTTTCCATTCGCTTTATAGAAACCATTTATCTCGCTCGAACTACACATTCGAGACTCGCCCACCACTACTGAACTCTTGGGAGGGTCTTGGTTTTGATTTTAATCAGTCTTCGATGGTCAAATTAGCCAAAGAGGCTGCTGACCTTGGCTGTAGTCTGTTTGTTAACGATGATGGGTGGTTCGGTACTGATTATCCCCGAAATAATGATAGTCTCGGTTTGGGTGATTGGACTCCTGACCCAGCTAAGTTCCCTGATGGTCTCGGACCCTACGTCGAACAAGTGGATAATATACTTGTCCAGAACACCTCAGAACATGTGAAGCTTGGGCTATGGGTTGAGCCGGAAATGGTCAGTCCCGATTCTGATCTGTATAAACGGCATCCTGAATGGTGCATGCATGCGGGAAACCATAACCGCACACTTCAAAGGAATCAACTTGTTCTAAACCTTGGCCTTCAAGAGGTCCAAGATTATATTATTACGGTAATCGAAAGTATACTCGATTCTGCTCCTATAAAGTATATCAAGTGGGACAATAACCGTGGTATTCATGAGATGTCGTCTCCTTCCGCAAACCACGCTAATATGTTGGGGTTATATCGTGTTATTGACAATCTCACGACTGCGCACCCAGAGGTCTTGTGGGAAGGATGCGCGTCAGGCGGAGCCAGGTTCGACGCTGGTTTACTTCACTACTGGCCACAGAGCTGGACGAGCGATGATACAGATGGTTTAGAGCGTCTTTACATCCAATTTGGCACATCGTACCCCTATCCGCCCTCGGCAATGGGTTGTCACGTCAGTGCTGTCCCGAATCATCAAACCGGCCGTACTACTCCTTTAGCCTTTCGAGCAGCTGTGGCCTCGATGTGCGGGTCATTCGGTTTCGAGCTAGATCCTTCCACGCTTACTCAAGAGGAACTCGATACGATCCCCAAACTGATATCTACACAGCAGAGAATTAACCCTACCGTGATTAACGGCGACTTCTACCGCTTAGCACTCCCAGATCAGTCCAATTGGCCTGCAGCTATGTTCGTCTCTCCTGAGCATGACTCCGCTGTGCTATTCGCTTTTCAGATCCGATCGGCCCTGAAACCACTACCACCGCCGCTGAAGCTACAGGGCTTAGATCCAGATGCAAAATACACAGTGAGCAATGGGACTTGGGAGCAGAATTGGTCTGGCTCAACATTGATGAATATCGGACTGAGTTTAAGTTGGCCAACCTCTGACTATGAAAGTATCATTTTGACTTTTGATAGGCATTGAGTTATTTGCGGCACGCCTCGCTGCAATTTCCCGACTTCGATGTCTAGAAATTCTCAAACTAGGTGTAATTTACTTATTGGTTAGACAATTATAGATCCTAAGTAGAGCCATTAATCTAACAAGAAGTATGAAGAGATAATCTCCCTGTCCTAGAAATTTCAGTTGCCGGTAACCATAGTCGCGTCTAAGAGGAAGGAATTCGGCTACGGCCAACCGTTTGGTCCTAGAGAACCTTCCAATCAAATTCCTTCTCCCATGCGGCTGCTACCTTCAGACAATCTACATCTGCATACTTGCGACCTACTATTTGGATGGCGGTAGGGAGCTTTATAGTCGGATCTTCCCGCGCAGGCACGAAACCAACGGGCAGTGAAAGAGCAGGATGTCCCGAATCTTAGAGATGTCCGTTAGCGATCTTTATTTCAAGCGAAAAGGGGAGTTTTGACATACTATTAAAAGGGCAAGTATTCGCTATTAATCCTGTTGTCCGAGCCAAATAGTTCCGCGGACCTTCGTTTGATTCGGGCTCCGGCAAACGCGGTGGGGGGTAAGGCAGAGTTGGCATAACTAAAACGTCAAACTCCTCAAGCGCTTTGTCGTAGGCATCCTGTGTAACTGGTCAGCCTATATGTGCCAGCAATACTTGAAAGGAATCTTACGCTGGTGGCTTTCAGGAGATTCATAGCCTTCCCCTGCACCTTCGCGCCGTATTTCTCTTGGATCCACAGGTACCCAACATACATGTTGGATGCTCCGGGTCCTAGGGCGTCGAACTGAGATTGGGTTAGCTTTGGGCCTATTAGTTCAGCGCGATCCGTTAAGTATAGCTGCTTTCTCCCATCCATATCGCCAAGGAGGGACTGTCGACCCCCTGGCAGAGGTAAGGCACATGCCCAAAGTGAAGGGGCTTCTCTATGTAACGGCACCGAAACCGAAGCGACTTCCGCTCCAAGTGACTTGAACTTCTCAATCGCCGACTTGACGGATGCCACGACGGCATCATCTTGCCCAGGGACTTCAAAACCCTCGCTTAGCACACCGATCTTAAAGCCTTCAAGCATCTTTGATGGCTCTTTGCCAAGTGTCTGGTCTACAGGAGCCACAAACTTCAATCTATCTCCCTCGAGGCCGAGTGGTGGTTGGCGATCATCCCATCCGTCTGGTCCCGCAATCGCCTCGAGTAATAAAGCGCAATCTCTCACGTTCTTGGTCATTGGACCTACGTGATCAACAGTCGCATCTAAGCTCAGAATACCAGTATAGGGTACTAAGCCCCAAGTTGGCTTGAGGCCAACAATGCCGCAAGATGAAGCAGGGATCCGAATACTCCCACCTTGGTCGCAACCAAAGGCGAGATCAACGGATCCAGTCGCGACGAGTCGTCCAGATCCACTACTAGATCCTCCGGCACTATATCCCTTTGCGAATGGGTTATGGACCTGTCCAGTCACGGCTGTCCCCGACATTCCTTCGAGACAGGAGTTTTCGCATGCTATATCGTATTAACCCCGTGCACAATTAACATGAGGACCTGGTCAGATCAAAGAATCATACCAGCTTTACCGATAATGGTAGCTCCAGCGTCCAGAACTCTTGTCACGACTGTTGCGTCGATATTGGGAGTCCAATCCACCATGGACGTTCCGTTCGTACACCGAACTCCCGCGAATGCCATGTTATCCTTAAGCGCTATAGTGCGGCCCTTGAGCAGGTCATTCGTAGGGTTTATACATTTCGCAGTAACCTATTTCTCCTATTAGAGTCTTTAGACGGCCGATTCGGTAAACTCTACCTTAGTTGCCCATCCACCTAGCTCATTGTCCTCGGGGACATGGATATCCGTACGCGGATACTTGGTGAGGTCAGGGTAAGGCAATATACTCTTATCATCTGGAAGAGATGCAATTATATCATCCAACGAAGATATAAATGCACTGTGGTCTTCTAAGAGATAAGGGGGGACTTCTAGTCCGGCTTTCGCAAGGACTGGTAGTAACTCGTCCCCAACGACTCTTCTACTGGGTGTTTCTGGCTGAGGGACTGACATTCTGGCTTTGCGAATTCGGACCTAAAATGCTTTATCTAGAGAAGGTTACGAGTATAGTGTCTCTCACTAAATACTAAGAGAGAGGTATGAAGTAGGGTGCACCATAGATATATTCGACCCTAATATCAATTGCTTAACAAGATCTTATCTCTTGGCTCCAATATCTCCCAGGTGATGTAGGCGGGGTACGGAGTTCATACTGGGGAAGTCGTATTGATCCTTCACCTATGAAGATCGAGCAAATCGGGGACGGATAAGCTTGGTTATCACCAGCATATCATTATCTTACGACTTACGGTGCAATGCATTTATATGCGGGTAAGTAGATCAATTTAGAGGTTCGCTGACAGGCACTCTAATAAATCCCTCAGGAGGTATATAGTTCTTCTCGTCCTAATACTTTCGTATATAAACTAAATAAAGCCCCTGATTCCGGTTACTAAGTAAAGATAGTTCTGGAAAGGTAGTCCGGGAATTACTAACAAGCAGAATAGGTAAAGAAGGGCCATCTACTCGTATGCCTACCTTATATAGGTACCTACACATAAGTTTATCTCTTTGCAGCCGTCAGGCCATTTTCCAAATACATCGCTTATATCATACCAAGCAATAAATCACAGGTTGTAAGTAATAACGCATCAAATACGAGCCTGCGAATGGGTGCTTTGCGTTTACTATTCAGGCCTCAACCGCTGTTATATAATTGGTACTTCCTAAACGCGTCGTGGGTGAGTTGTCACTACTAAGCTTATTTGGATCATTAATTCTAATCATTAGGTAACTTAGGCACCCAATCTATAGCAAAAGAGATGATAATATCCATCGCACGAGAGGAATAATAATATACGATTTAATAAGCTCCTAATAGTGTTATTCGAGACATGTTATAAATAGAATGAATCATCTACGCATAATTTAGGTAGCGATATTTCTATGGGAGACTTATCTTTAAGTTAACATAACTACTGTGATGGTAAAGTTCCGAGACTAACGTTCACCCTATTTATTTTGATAGATTAGTCGCTCGAATGTTATTTCTTCTTTCTTAAAGTGCAGCTCTCTTGCTTAACTCACTTTTGACCACTCATATCTTGTAGAATATTGGATCCATATATTCTTTTAGACCCGAATAGCTATAGGTAAATACTAAGTAACGTACCACAGGTAGATACTTGGAGCATTAATACAAGCCCTGACGAACTCTCCGGGATGTAGTAAAGCTCTTACATCCGCTCTCGAACACTACATCAGGAAGCTCATATATTTGTGAGTTGCTTTGTTGCCATTGTGAATGTCTCAAGTTCTACCTCCAGCATATATGTCGTTCCCTGTGGAGGGTGAAAGCCGAATTTACGCCGCGGAAAAGGGGCTGTGAAGTCTCTACTTATTTGATGCTGCGAGTAAGAATGAGGGGTTGTTGGAAAATGTCACCCTCTGAGCAATAGGCATTCTTGTAGGCTGTCAGGCTGTCAGGCTGTCAGGCTGTGCACGGGGTTTAAGATTTGAATAACCACCCTGTCACAAGTACAGCGTTGCACATTGTCATCAAAATATTTTCTATACACTTCAAATATGACAATGGAAAAATCAGTAAACATCGATAATTATGAAGCGCTCCCCGCAGATGGCTCTCAAATCCGCCTGGTGACAATCCACCAAGGAGAGGAAGACGAAGATATTGAATGCACTCTTGAGAATTTCCCCTTCATTGAAAATATAGACAGCCATGAGTACGAAGCTCTCTCATACGTATGGGGCGACGCTTCTAGCACAGCTTTTATATCCCTTAACAAAAAACCGTTCCAAGTAACAAGAAACCTCGAAGCTGCCCTGCGCGCATTGCGACTTCGAGACAGAAAGAGGCTTGTTTGGATAGATGCAATATGCATCAATCAAGCCAACGTTCAAGAGCGAAACCAAGAGGTCAGTCGAATGGGTAAAATCTATAGCCAGGCCGGGCATGTCATTGTGTGGTTAGGTCCAGATACCTTCATTCGGGGCGAATGTGTCTCTGACAAGACAATCGACCTATTGAACTTAATAGCCGATACAAATCCCCAAGATCCCGAAGCTGCAGCTACAATAATGACTAAAATGGACAAGTCACTATACGGGCTAGAATTACTGCACAAGTTTTTCTTCCAACCATGGTACACTCGTGTTTGGATACTTCAAGAGATTGTGCTGGCAAAGTCTGCGACGGTCGTTTACGGAGACCGATTGATGGATTGGGATCGAGTTCTAGAAGCCGTAGACTCTCTACGTAGGCTCCAAATTGGTCAAAACACTCATATTTGGCGATTGAGCGGCGCGTCGAGAGTGGATAGTATACAGAGATGTTGGATGCGGGTTCGCACTGCCAAGTCGCGTGACACACCTCGCCGGCCAATCTACCTTGAGCTGGTTGAGTTACTCTGGCAGACTCGCTTCTTTGAGAAGAAAGAGCCTAGGGATAGGTTATATGGAATTCTGGGATTGTTGAAAGGCGATGCGCAAAATGAAAAATTGCTCGAAGTCGACTATACGAAACCAGTTGCAGATATTTTTAGGGACTTGGCCGTTTTTCTACTCAAGGGAGGTTTGCTGTCCCACGCTCTATGTGCCGTGGCAAATTCTATGGAAGGCTTACCATCGTGGGCATCGACGTGGACTGCCGAATTAGAGGGTGATGCAGCTTCGAAGCTTTCGACTGGCCTTATGACCTACATGCAAATTCACGAGCTGAAGGGGATACAACCACCGCTAAACCCACCGCGTTTCTCGGATGATCTACATCGGGTCACGATCAAAGGACACGTCTTTACTCCAAGTATCCAACATACGGGCAAAAGCTTCAAATCGGGTACACCTCAAATCGCAAACTTGAATGACTCGATTAGAGTCTGTCATAGACGACTTATTGAATGGGAAGACGAGATGGAGTGCCAGGGTTGTTCACGCCAAAAATTCACAACGAAAGCTCAGCGGCGTAAGGCATGGAAGTGCGCACTATTTCACGAGCTGCCGGGGGATGAGACCGAGACGAGCGAAAACTACGATCTACTAACTAATCGCAACAGAAGAGCGCCATTGGCGAATGATGGCCCTTTAATAGTACGCGCTATTGTAGATTTAAATTCACAGTTGGGAATTTATTGTAACTTCCGCAAGCCTTTCGTTACAGCATCGGGTCTAATGGGAAGTACGGGGTCAAACAGGAATGTTCACATTGGAGATAAACTCTGCGTATTCGTGGGTTCTGCGGTGCCTTACATACTACGGCCTGTTGGTCGGTCTAAAAAGCTATATCAGTTTGTTTCTTGCTGTTGGGTACCAGAGCTTATTGATCTAGACATGGTTGAAGGACAAAGGAAGGGACTTTGGCAACTTCAAGATATCACTCTTATTTGATTAAATACCTAGGTAGAAACTAAAGTCTCATGAGCCGAACTGCAAATAAAAAAAGGGGGATTTTACGTCGTCTTATCGTTTTGAGCAGTCTTCTTGTAGTATGCCTAAGGTTGATAACTGTGACCGTCATCACGATAGTTATATTTAAGGAGTTTGGGCATTCTGCTTTGCCGTTTGCTGCCTTCGGCCCTCCTCTTTCAGTTTTTCATCATCAGGGCGGCTAAGTTCGACTTGTGGCATCATGAACCAAGCAAGGACGAATGCAACAGCAGCCAGAGATGCTCCTACAAGGAATATCACTCTGAATCCTTGGCGGTATGCAGGTACAAGGACCGAGCGGATCTTTAACGCCTCATCAAGAGGCAAAGACGACAAGTAGGATTGTGGGCCGTTGAGGAGATTTTTAACATCGGCGCCGTCAATATTTAGCGATGAAATCGAACTCGCCAGAATGTTGTTCCTATAGAACCAGGTCAGATAAAAAAGAACAAGTTACATGAAGGTTAGGGGTATCGGGAATAATTTCTCACAGTATGGTACCACAGATAGCAAGACCTAATGTTCCTCCAAGGTTTCGTACGAAGCTGGAGGACGTTAGTTGGAAAAAGTTCCGGCTGATAATAATAAGGGTTCTCACTTTCTAAAAGACGTTACAACGGCCATGTCTCTCCTCTCGACTCCAGCTTGACAGGCTATCAGAGATCTGTATATAATGCATTAGTTTCAATGACTTCACGCGAATAAGGATACTCGGAACTTACGGTTGGAGTGTATTACCAACCCCTACTCCAATAATGATGGAATACCCTATCTGCTTCCCGAGTCCTGAGTTTTCGTCCAGTGTTGACATCAAACCAAGACCAATAGCCCAGCACACCCATCCAAACAAGATAGATTCGCGGTACCTCCCGACCCAGTGAACAACTAGACCCGATAAAGTGCTGCTAAGCGTCTGTATGAGCGTAATTGGAAGCAGCATAGCGCCAGCCTTGGTTGCGGAGTACCCATAGGCGAGCTGATAGAACGTAGGGACATAATAGACTTGAACGACGAAGTTCCAGCCGTTGATAGCCATAGTGAGGCACGCGCCATTGACAATCTTAGACTTGAATATATGTACTAAATCGACGGTTAGATACGTGTAGATACGAGTAGTCACTTGATAAGATGAGCTTACAGGGGACTAAAGGATATCGTGGTCCGCGCCATTGCCACAGAACAAAGGCTACACATAGTACGAACCCAAGAATCAAGGTAGTGATTACGGCAGCAGAATCCCATGGGTATTCAGAGCCACCCCATGTCAATCCCAGCATTAGGACGGTAACACCAGCTAGAGTAAGGATGATACCGAGAAAGTCAACAGCCTTCAATTTTCTAAAGGCATCATTTAGCATGCAACAACACTAGGAAGGGTATGACGTTCTCTTACAATTTCCAGTCCCCCTCCACTTTCTTTAGCGGCATAATGAATACAACGCAGCAAGTGGTCAACAAGGTAAGAGGCAAATTCAAACGGAATATCCACCGCCAAGAGTCTTCCGAGATAGAGGAGAGAGACCCGCCAATAACAGGACCGATTCCATTAGCAATAGCAACGACTGCTCCCTAAGAAAATAATTAGACAGAGAGGCCAGGAACGAGGGGTGCTAAATCTACGTACCAGGATTCCTTGGTATTTTCCTCTTTCTCTCAACGGCACCACATCGCTAACAATGGTCTGGGCTATGGTCATCAACCCACCTCCACCGATGCCGGTGAAGCAACGGAAAACGATCAACTGAGTCACAGTTTGAGAAAGAGATGATGCCAAGGATCCAAAGAAAAAGATAGCTAAGCCGATGAGTAGGATAACTTTGCGAGACCAGATGTCTGAAAGCCGTCCATACAAAAGTTGTCCTACAGTTGATGTTCTGATAAAGTACTTAGCCTCATAATCAACGTTGATAATTCATACCGATATCATCCACATATTGTAAGATAAAAACTTACATAAAATAACCGCTAGCGATCCACGAGGCTTGCCCGGTCGACTCGAGCGCGTCTGCGATGATGTATAAACTTGCAGCTAATGTAGTTTGGTCCATAAGAGCCAATAAGTCGACACTGGCACATGCGAGGAATATCTTGAACCAGTTAACACCTAAATATCATAGAGGGGTCTCTGCTTTGGGGATAGTTACCGTGATGATAGTCCTCTTAGGGACATAATTGGTCTGCTCATTGAAAACATGGCGTACTTCAGTATCGTTCTCTGAGCCGCCCTTGGACTCTGTGAATACTGTAGTATCCCCCCCAATGGTGGCATTAGCAACATCGTCGGATTGGGACCGGTCTCCCATTGCAACCTTCTCCATCACTAATTTCAAGTTTGTGGGAAACTTGCTTCAAAGTGCGGCTCGATCGAATATTTATTTTGTCACGGGATCATTTGGGTGAACGGGCGACGAAGAATTAGTACGATATAGTCTGCTGGAGAATTTAATCCTTGTTAGTCTTATGTAGGTTGCTGGGCTGCGTGATGATAGACCTTGATGGCGGCTGAGAGATCTACAAGGTAGGTAAAGAGATCCACTAGCAGGACAAAAGGGTCCTCATTGAGCGATCTAATTCGAAGAAAACCCGATACGTCAGTAGAAACTTGCTGGTGGTTGAAGCAATAAAGCCGAGGCCGTTGAAAAGAAAATGTGAGTTGGATATAACGTTGCTCGTCTACCAGCAACATAGAACAATAGAGAACAATTGGTGGAGTCCAAGTCCCCGGATTTCCACTCTAGGACCCGAAAAGGCGGTGGAATAAGAGAGCTAGGATACAGAGACGGTGTTCAAGCTTGGTATTCGAAGCACGCAAGCTTACAAATGCGGACTGTAAAAATTTAAGCACATCACGAAAAGCTTCACGTGTAAAGTTTACTTAAGTTTTATGTATGTACATTTAGCCCAGGTTATTGGATATAGAATTCTACCCTGATACTACCTAAAGTAAGGTTTACCACCGTGCCATGCACACACACAGACGTGACCGGGGTTATGTTAGGTAGGTTCGACGGTCTAATTGGTTGGAAATGACCTCAAAGTGCCTCGTACAGGGATCGGCGCTATATTTTAACCTATGTAACAGCTACCCAGGAATGCGGACACTAAGTATAGATCTTCAAAGTCTATTTGCTCGTACTGAAGTAGATCGGACGTTAATCATTTATGAAACCTCCTTCCGTCAATGTCGGCCATATTCGCAACATGTCGATCTTTCATGAGCCATGAGCCAAGAAATCTATTTAAGAGACCTTGTTGGCGACCGAGGAAGGAAATAGTCTAGACTGCCGTGTCCGCGTCATGCACCAGGGGAGAATATCTGCTCAAAACAAGATCCCGTTAGGTAATTAACCTGGAATACAGATTGTGACGCTCCTGGAGATGTGGATGCGACTATGTAGGTAATATCAGAACTGTGCCCGAATCATCAGTTCGACATATCTAAAAGCCCCGTAATAAAAGCCCAGGTAGCGAGCATACTTACTACCTTGGTAGGAGGTATATAACCTACCTAAGGTATATATATCCCGCCCCTCGTATCAGTTGCACCTCTTGGCTTCCCAGTACGACTCATGAACCTTCATAGGAAAGAAACTAAGATAATCGACCATGTCGAATAACAACTTCCTCAACGTCTACAAGGGCGCGAACTCAGTCCGGGATTTTTTCGACCCAGATTCAGCTCCTCCCCTGCCTCTCGTGGAGATCCCGGACCAACTTAACCCCTATCGGCGTGATGGCGTGAGGATATACGCCAAAATGATGACGATGCATCCGGCCAACAATGTAAAGGCCATGCCAGGTGAGCCCATCGATGTGATATCACGTACACGTTTCAATATTAACGTTCTGTTAGCATTAAACCTCCTAGAGAAGAGCGTGGTGCCGGGGAAGACCAAGACCATCATCGAGTACAGCTCGGGCTCGACTGTAATATCCATGTCCCTCGTCTCCCGAGTTTTCCACGGCGTTTCCGATGTTCGTGCATTTTTAAGCAATAAGACTAGCGTAGCCAAGTTGCGGTTAATGCAGTTTTTCGACCTCGATATGTAAGTTGACCCCTAGCTCTCCTACCTAATATCGTCTTTGATTAACCTTGCACTACCTAGTACTCTCTTTGGTGGCCCATCCCAACCAGAGCCCACCGATGGACGTGGAGGGATCAGGGCAGCTGAGAGGATGGCCGAAGATGATGAGTCTATCATCAACCCGAATCAATATGGGAATGACGATGTAATCTATACTGTAATTCCTTATAATTAGCGAAGACTGACTGATAATAGAACTGGAAAGCACATGTTAGATGGACGGGACCCCAGATCCTCAGGCAACTCCCAGAGATTAATTTGATTTGTGCTGGTATGGGTACTTCTGGTAGGTTACACTGAAAACGCTGCAATGGCCGCCATTATCTGATAGATTCTAGGCACTATGACGGGATTAGGGATGTACTTTAAGGAGTCAAAGTCATCGGTCTTCCGTTTAGGGTTTGCACGCATCTAATCCAATTCGTTTGGTGACGGAAATACTAACAACTGGCAGAGTATGCACCGCACCCGGTGATAGAGTCCCAGGTCCTCGTTCGTTTGCTCTTCTTGCGCCAGTAGAGTTCCCTTGGAAATCAGCAGTCGATCATATCGAGGAAGTTGGCTCACACGACTCCTTCTCCTTATCACTAGACATGTGTCGTCAAGGCATCGTATGCGGCCCTTCTTCAGGTTTCAACCTAAAGGGGTTATTCCAGTTCATCGAAAAGCAAAAGGTCTCAGGAACGCTATCGAAGTATGCGGGCGAGGACGGGGAAATACATTGTGTGTTCCTTTGCTGTGATCTACCTTACCAATATATCAACGAGTACTTTGATAAGTTGGGTTCGGAGTATTTCCCTCCCATTAAGAACGAGGTACGGGTTAATATGACGAGAAATAAGAGTAAAACTAATCCGAATATTAGGCACTTGCCAAAGTTGATCTTTACCGTTACGACGAAGCATGGGAGAAAGACGCCACAACCGTTCTTCCTCAATTTTTGGAAATGAAAAGAGTGGCGACTAAAGAGGAAGTGTTGTCCGGTATTCTACACGAGGCAACAAATGAAAATGGGCTGAGTGAAGCCGTTACTCTCAAAGATGATGCGGTTATTGTCGATATCCGTCAACCCGCGGCTTTCGGAGAGTTCAGCCTGCCCGGTTCCGTCAACTTGCCATTCGTGGATTCATTGACCGCAAGTCCATTCTCAGATCCCGCGGTACTCGAAGCGCTGTGGTTGAAAATAGACGAGTATTTTCGAACACCGCACAGCGAGACTGTTTCATTATTGCAGGACAAGCGGATTCTGATCCTCTGTTACGATGGCGACAGTTCCCGTGTAGCGACTAGCGTGCTTCGTGCCAAGGGATACGAAGCCGACAGCGTCCGTGGTGGCTTTCAGGAGTTAGTTAAACTTCAGATAAGGGAGACCAAAGGTCATCACATTGTTGCCAACGGGCAACGACCCAAGCAAGGGGTCTCACTTACACGGGAAGTTGAACTCGTTACGCCATCTTGACCGATAGTATCATCGGAGTAATTTCAGTCGGACTGAGGACTTAATGCCTTAGGTACCTAACCTACCTAAGGTATGTTCCATATGCAGTATGTTATGCACACTTGCGTAATAGGTAAATAACCCCTAACCTCGTAATTGAACTCCGGATTACCCGAATTATCTTGAGCGATAGGAATAAGAGACATACATATGTACTAGACTACCTCCTATGTATATACTATATACCAAAACTTATATATAAAGGTATTATAACTGCCTACCTAACAGGTATGTAATACGTTAGGTTGTTGGTTAAACCGATCTTCACCATTTTCCATTTTCGTACGTATTCCATTTTCGTACGATATCCACTTGATCGCCGGCTAAACTCAGTGCGCTCGACAAGGATCTTGTCGCCTTCACCGCGTTAAAATACATTTTAGGCAAGCTTTTGGAAAAGAGTCTTAGTTCTAGAACGCTTCGAATCGGTCGCAAGTCGTTGTGTTATACCCGGAGTAACTAGTACGAATAATAACCGGTTTTAAAAGATAATCGGTTTTGAACATGGCTACTGGAGAAAACCCGTTTCGGATCATAATTGTTGGAGGCGGACTCGTAGGTCTCACTACGGCGCATATCTTATCCAAAACGGACATCGACTTCGTTATACTTGAACGACATGAGAACTTAACACCCGAGCTCGGCTCGCTCCTAAGCTTATGGCCGCCGACATTTCGCATCTTAGACCAGCTAGATCTCCAAGATGTAGTAAAGCCCGTCCTCAACCCTATCGACTATGCAATTAATATGTCTGCCGACGATGAGTCCATATTCCTAAAGTGGAACGGCGGAGAGTTGATCAAACAAAAGTATGCCAATCCAGAATCAAGGTAATAAGTACGAAACTGAGCTTACAACTATCGTAATCTAGCCACGGGTACGGAATCCAGGTTACTCACCGCCCGCTATTCATTGAAGCCTTATATCAAAGCCTACCTGACAGTGCGAAAGCACGGATCAAAGTCAAGAAGCACGTCGCCAAAGTGAACGTGTCAGATGATGGAGTGGTCGTCGAGTGTGCCGACGGTACTGTGGAAAGGGGCTCTATTGTGATGGGCGTAGATGGCGTCCACAGTAGGGTTCGCCAATGCATGCAGGCGATGGAGGAGGGCAGGGCAGCTCCTAGCATATCAGAAACGCCCAAGAGTCCCTACCTCGCTACGTTTAAGATGGTCTTTGGGAGCGTACCTATCCCGCCGACATTACCGAAGAATACCAATCACGAATGCGCGTCAGAAGGTGTATCGGTTCAGCTTCTCACTGGTAACTCTCAGGCATGGTTCGGCGTGTACGAAGCGTTTGATAAACCTACGTCAGAACGCATCAAATATACCGAAAAGGATAAGCAGCAGGCCATACAGAAATGGGGACATCTGTATGCCGCTCCCGGTGTGACAGTGCGCGATATTTTCAGTTTACAGAATGGAAACTTCGGTATGATCAACCTAGAGGAAGGTCGTGTGGACAAGTGGTATTGGAATCGCATCGTTCTCGTGAGTGATGCTATTCGGAAACTAGAGCCTCATGCCGGATTAGGGTATAATAGCGGTGTGGCCGACGTAGTCGTTCTCGTGAATAAGCTCCGGCGCTTACTCCAGACTACTCGGTCACCCGATACGAAAGCCTTAGAAGCGCTATTCGCCGACTACCAGGAGGAGCGGAAAAAGGAGGAGCCAATGATTCAAGACATGTCTATCCGTCGGGCCCGGCTTTGCGCGTGGCTCAGCCCAATGGATAAGATCATGGCCAAATACATCATCCCCTACACTAACTTTGCAGTATACAGCACAACCCACAAATACGGACCAGTCGTCTCCCGAGCTCCTATCCTAGACTGGTTAGAAGAGAAGTCCAACAATCCAAAGAACGTGCGAATACCCTACGTCCACCACCCTATCATCAACGGGGAGAAGCCAAAGAATGCGTTATCAAGAAACCATAGCTACTACAGCCTATCAGCCTTTGTCGGAATGATCACCGCGGCTGCTCTTGCTGCACTAGGACTCCAATACTACCATAGGATCTTGACAATGATAGAATCCATGGCGACCTAGAAATGCGTAGAGAACCTTTTTCTTTCTCATTTCGTACCTAATATATAGGGGAGGGGAGAGACGGATGTAATAAGTGCAGGCAGTTCTAACCCGAGATATGTTCATAACATTTATACATTATATTAGATGTTAGGATAAGGGTCTTATAAGAATAGAAGATATGACCTTGCGATCGGAAATCTACCCAACTCTAACATTACCAAACAAATAAAAGATCGGGCTTAACTAACATTAAGTTCTCTCAAATCAACCCAGTAATTTAGGACCCCTTCTCGAGTCGCGTTAAAAGTACATAGGAGTCGGAACGATGCGGCCATAGCGATCGAACTGAATGTAAGGGCTCGAGCTTGCTGATCCAAGGAACCTAGAATCCAGTAAGTACCTAATATATATCCGTAAAATCCTCCAGACGAACGACTCTTACACGGTCCTGTGATCAGTCTCACGGTCGAAACCACTCTTCCACGCCCAGATATCCTCCATATCCAAGCGGTGCTCCGTCTTAGGCTTACCCTGCGCAAGACGCAGCTTTTCAAAGTATACATATGCGGCATAGAAGACGGTGCCCTTAGCTCCTGTTTTGGCACCGTGACCACGACGGAAATCATTAAGTTGTTTTGACTGGATGCTCTCAATCGTAGGCGCATTGAGCTGCGCGTACAGATCACGAAAGAATTGGGCCCGTGTTACTCCCTGAGTCTCCAGGTGCGCACTGATCTTCCGTCGGATCTCGTCGGATGAGTCCCACCAGCTAACCAAGTCTATCTCCTCATCGTCTAAGGAGATGTGCTTGATGTCTGGGAGTGAAACCACCGCCGGTAACATTTTTGAATCCGACCTGCTTGTGTGTGACCTCGGAGAATTGGCCCCTTGCGTTTGCTTCTTCGTATTCGGCATCGCTAACTTCACTACTTGGCGTCGCTTCAACCATGTCCAAGTGTTGTGATATGCGGAACTATCCTGTCCACCGTCGGGCCCAGTCTGTCTAGGAAAAGTATTCAGAGTATTTGTATTGCACCCGATAACTCGAGAAAATTCAGTCTTGTTCATAATATTGGCCTCGAGAAACTTTCTGATCCAGCTGCGCACAACATCGCAGCTGGGCATCGTCTCGTCTTCGAAGGCATCGGAACTGATGATGTCGTCTAGGCCACGAATGAGAGCTGCGAATTCCCCTTCAAATGATATACCCGCCTTACGCTTCTTACTCAATGATGCATCGGTGGCCGTAATACCCTTCGTAATTGCAAGTTTAATTTTCACCGACGTAGTCCTCCGTTGCACAGCTAAAGCTTGTGTCTTGCTTTCTTTACCTCCAGCTTGACCCGCGTCTTTCATTCCGAAAGAATGAATGGACTCCCCACATGAAGGACTTGACGTATCATCTGTCTGGTCACTAGATCTACCCTTAGACAACGTCTTTTAATAAGTCGCCCTCGCACGTAACGAGTTGACGCGATTACTGGCATCTTCGAGGACCTTACGTTTCTGTTATCATAGTAGTTAACATAATGAAGTCCTGGTTTACCTTAACTTATTCATTATGGATTATCATACAGGAGCACTTCTAGTTTTGGGTGGCATTTTGAGTTGTCTGTTTCTTCGCGGTCTCTGTTGTCGAAAAACTCACTTGTTGATGGTGGGACACGCGTTGTATTCCAGAAAAGGCGTTTGAACTGGTGGACATCGCTGAAGTGTTAAAGCTAGGGTCTATTGTATTAATTCGTTTTCTTTCCCGAGTAACTACCTGTTATGTTAGGCAAGTATTTAGCACATAATAGTAGCAAGAAGCATGTTAACCTATAGTGCATGATGAAGTTACGATATACTCTAAAGATAAATAATGAGCACATGGGAAGCATAACTAAATTTAGCCAATTCTGATTTATATTTATTAAAGTATAAAATGAATATAAGGCTTTTTAACAATGTTATTTAAGATATTCATTAGATGTTTAGAAGCTAGGCAATTTAGACCACATGTGTATTATTCGGGCGACTCAAACAAGAGTATCTACCTAAAGTAACTATTCCTCTCAGGTGAAGACGTATGCTAATGTCACGGAACAGTCCTTATAAACTTGGATAGTATCGATAGTTCGATATACTGTTAACAATCAACTTTTGGTGGCGTGGCGGTATGATAGCCATATTTTATACCCTTACAGCCACTACGTAAATCGATCATGCTAAGATCATACAACGAAGACAACAATATAGGTCATTATACGGCTTTATAAATGGATTAACCACCCCAAATTATTCGAAGTAAAGATAAATAATCACGAACATGGATATTTCCCGGCTATCGGGTATATGATATAACTTTGGCTATCCCCGTATACCTTTATCCCACAAAAGAATTGAAAACCACAGGCACTTCTTGGAAGATATCAAGTAATACTGCCCGTTAAACTTAAGTTCAGTCTCAATCGAGGTGACGAAAGTGGCAACGACTTCTATTAGGCGCTAGGTATTGTATGGTTTCTAGACTCGATGGGCGGATGATGATCTTCCAGCTCTTTGGAATTGCCGAACCAACCCCACACAAAATTCATATGGCTATTCTCTTCGAGTACGACAGTATCATCTTCTTTGCCGGTTTGGACATCATGTAATAATTCATATTTAGGAGGAGCTACCCCGACTCACCCCAAATGTAGGAAAGGCAGTCATCGCAAGTTTTCACTTCGTTTCTATTCGGCACCAGTTCCCTTAGGCAAGATTGAAGATGTTGAGACTCACCCTCGCCGCTCTAGGGCTCCTTGCAGCTCAGACCGTAGCACAATGCACCCGCGAAGACCTCATTGCTGCTACTGACAGTCTCCTGGCAGCACAGACTGCGGGAACTCCCGACACAGTAGCTCCTCTGGCCGACACCGTGGTCTACTTGGAAGCATTCAAGACGGCTGACATCAAGACTGGAATACTATCTCACCCGCTCAATATTGACTTCAATCGCAGTCTCCACGACACCACTCAATGCGCAACATACACCGAAATCGTCGTCACAGACAAGGCGCACCCGTACGTCATAGGCACGCAACTGCGCTTCGCCGACGGAAAGATAGCCAATATCAGCTCTCTCGTTACTGATCAGGGTGACTGGCTATTCAACGCCACCGGTACCCTCTACTGGGCATCTCAGGAGAAGTGGGACCCAATCCCGGAGGAAGAGCGCGACAGCCGCGAGGTGATCCAGGCCGCAGCCGACGCCTACGCCGATCTCTTCAACGACAAGTCCGTACAAGTCCCTTGGGGACACCCTTGCGCACGTCTTGAGGGTGGCGCGTACACTGGTTCGGGATCAGCCGACGACAGGTGCGATGTCGGTGTTCCCAGTGGTAAGTCATATCTATTTAGAATAACGATGAGATTTGATAGATTACTAACGCTCGAGTTATAGGAGTCAGCCTGAGCAACCGTCGTTATGTCATTGACGAGACTCTCGGTGCTGTTGACGTCTTCATCGACTTTGCGACCGTCCCGGACAGCCACGAGTTCCGAGTTGAGAAAGGCAAGCTTCGCTACGTCCATACTATAACTGTTATGGGTGGTTAAGTAGTGTGAGAGAAAGGTTCTATTCCTGTAGCGAGCCTAGTATCGCGGGTTGATTGAAAGGGAAATTATCGGGTACGAACAGCACATGTATGCGTGTACGGTCAATAGAAAATAAAACACCATTGAACAGTCTTACACGAAGAGATAGGGGCAACAGGTGTACTGACTTATTATGACGGGTAGATACCTGAGTAATAATCCTTTTTTTAATATATACCTCTTAAGATATCACAGCGAATATGCTGGGATGCAGCCATCGTGGAGACCGATAATGTGCTTAGAACAAACCATTCAGAAATGTACAATGTACAATACCGATTTGAATGTACCTTATGTTTACGAAGATGTTGTGAATTTAGTATATAAAAGGTGTTATTAAAAATTAAAATATCGGTGATATAGATCTGACTACGAGATCTAACTCTATCCAAGTAGAGACAGTCGTAGCCAACGGAAGAAGCACATGGAAAACGGCGAGTCAGGGTTTCGTTGTATCCACCGCTATCGCCGAGCCTTTTCACGATAGTAACAAAAAATTGGGTGGCAAGTGGGTCTTATTTGAGATCCACTCCGTTGGGCCCGTTCTAGGCCCCGGCGCAATAATCCATCTCACCTTTTTTCCCTAATTCATAAAACCCTCACTAGTCGCTCATTATCTTATTATGTTCTTGTTTTATCTCTTTTTCATTCGTTAGGTCATCGACCCGGAGACGGACCGCGAGTCTGACCGAGGACTCCAATGAACCCAGCGGGTCATCTGCTGTCTCCTACGAGCAGCCTGCCGCCTTTACGTTCGTTGACTGCACTCAATAAGGAACGAATATTCTCGGCTCTAGATAACCTTTATGAGCTGTATTGCCCCGTCTCGTTGCCACGGGCAGTTAAGTCGCAACTCGAACATGGGAAGGCGCATGATGAATTGCTGGTCCAACCGGTCGACTCTGGCTACGTCTCCGAGGATGATATAGACTCGGAATATGATCTTGACGAGTTGCGTGCCGATGCCTTTGAGCGCAACTTCGCTATCCGTTGGTTGACGACTTTAATTGCCAGCGCGGAAGAGCTACCCCTGAGTGATGAAGACGAGCGCGAGCAGGCGGTTGATAAGGCTTCCTTCATCCTTGCCTCGTTCACCAAACTTGCGGACCAAGATGACGTAGAAGATTCCGGAATTACGCGAGATTTTTCTTTCGAGTTAGCGCTATTCTCCGATCAGGCTTCTCCTAGGTTAAAGGAGTCTAGCATTCGTGAAAAGGTTTCGATAGACGTGAGACTCAATGATGCGCCACAAACCACCACAGATCACACCGATGTTGGCCTACAGAGCTGGGGTGCATCCATTGTCTTCTCCGACCTGTTATGTTCGTCACCGGGCCGGCTCGGACTTAGTCAAGAAACACTCGGCTCGTCTCCGCGTATCATCGAGCTTGGTGCCGGGACGGGACTAGTCAGTCTTGTTCTTGCCAAAGCGCTACCTCACTTCGGTGTATCCGATGCTACCCTGATAGCAACAGATTATCATCCGGCTGTTCTTGAGAATCTACAGTCTAATGTGAAGCTTAGCCGGGTAGGCGTAGAGACATGCTTCCTCGATTGGTCCGCCCCTATCTTGGAAGCACCACTCGACTTATCAGCAGACATGCTGGTAGCGACCGACGTGATATACGCACCTGAGCATGCTATGTGGCTTCGAGACTGCGCGACTCGCCTGCTCGCACCTAAGGGTGTGTTCTGGCTGCTCATGACCATACGCCCAAATGGCCGCTTCGAAGCTGTGATCGACTCCGTCGAAGCCGCTTTCAACAGATCGCACCCCAAAACATCAGATAACCGGCATCTCGCAATTCTAGACATGGAGGGTGTCGAAAAGCGCCGTGGCGTTGGACGCGGGGATGAGAGCGGATATAAACTATTTAGGATTGGGTGGGCTTAGACGAACAAACTAGAGTTAGAAGGGTGGTAGACTTATACAGCTAGACATGTGATAGAGTTACAGTATAGAACATTTCATGGCCGTACAGATGCGGCATAAAGGCGTATTAGATACCTGAGTCTGTTTTAATTTATCATAATAATTTAGAGCTTCTATCCTCGGAATGGTCACTACCTAAGCTACCATGTGAACTATGCGATTCCCTTCACGTATTCTACATACCTCCTAACACCATCCAGAAGGTAGTTTCAGCAAAGGAAAAGAGATACTTACCTAGGTAGGTAGTTTTATCATGTCTCAACACCTGTTTATATGAAATTAATACATAGGTACCTAATATATATGACAGCAAAAATAATACTGCCCCACACCGGAGTTCGGATTCGGTATAAGACTCGTCGGACATAAATACCTAAGGAGTGTAATAGTAGAAGATGACATTTGTGTTACTGAACGCTTCGCTGGTATATTACCCCCCATCCCTGTAAATCCAGAGATCTAATTATGTCCAACTAACTACCTCGACCTAAAGACAAAGAATGAGATTACTCTGCTCGCTTGACAGAAAAGGGATTCGGCGTAAAGATCCCGAATCGACCAAAACTACGGCCCAGTTAGCCATAACCTATTGTTCATTAGTAAATAATGTCTTAACTAACTGTGAATTACATATTGACTTTCAACAAAAGGGATCTTACCGCCGGTCTGTACGTGTTCGCCGACATGAACCTCGGCTCCAGCTAAGTCGCGACCCCGTCACTGGCCCCCCCAGTGGGGACCACCCATTTTATATGGGAAATCAGCAAAATCGCATATTCGTAATTAATTCAAGAAAATAGTTTTAGTCCTGGGTTGAGGTCGCGTTCCTTGCCATAAGTTGATGTAGCGTACTGATACTTTACTTGATCGTATTCCTTTGCTTGATACCCGTAATAGTTGCCATTATTCTTGAAGTAACTCTATGGATATTTCTTTTGCGTTTCATACGATGCTAACTATCCAAGAGGCATATGCCTCGGCCCTCGGTACTTATAGCCCTACACGTCTCTATGATACTCCGATGGGGTTCACCCGGTGTACTCAAGAGCTTATCATGCGCTTGACTCAGCTGTCAGCTCATGTCGTGCGCATCCGACCATTATTACGCCTTTGGCACGAGATGTATGATGCGGATATCTTATCTTACTTTGTAGTATGCGGTATCGAGTCTTACGTTAGCACAACAAAGAACCCCGGATTATGACAAGGAGCCACACTCTTAAGGCACTAATTCATCGTGTAAGGCTATTTATTAGTACTTGTAATAGGCAGCCATTATCACTCCGTAACTCAGCCTCATATCAGTAGGTATTTGATGTAAGAATGACAATGCAGCAGCTATTATAATACCCTTGATTGTTCCGAGCTGTCAGGATTAGATGCCCTTTGAGGTGAATCATGCACAAAGTGAATGTCTAGGGTAGGTAGACCAAGTAGTAGATTGTATTGAACTAGTAACGCCTGGCTTTCTAACCTCTGACGAGGGCGCTTCGCGCCTCTTATATAGTCGTAGAGACCCCCTGTAGCCACCCTGACCCACTATACCCTGACACGAGCTGAAAGCTAAGGTAATTCTCTACTTTGAACAAGCGAGAATGAAGGGAAAAGCAATTGATTTATGAGTACTTTTAATACTGTCATATTAACTTGGCTATCATGGCTTATGTTAACTCCCCCGACTGGCAGAAAGCAAACTCTCAAGGTACTGTCAGCAGATATGTCGCTATTACCCCGAGTCTTACTTGACGATCCCATGTCCATTTAGAGGTGTGGCTTAAGCTAAATTCCTAGCTCCCTACCTTAGGTACCTATTAGTCGTGACTGCTTTTTGCTGGTTTATATGACTTTCTCATAACAGATAGCTTCTAAACTTAGGGGTAATATGACATAACTATCAATATTCCGAGAACGGGGAACTTTTATCCTGCAGAAATACAAAGGTATCAAAACTCTGTTACCTACAACTTTTTCTATTTTATCATATGTAGTTAGGTACCTATATATCAAGCTAGAGATGCCCTACGTGTGAAGTTCACTTCTATTTCATATCCACCAATTACCCGAGATATGTATAATGTCTATATATATTTGTTAGAGAGTAGAGCAAGATCGGGAAATGGTTACCTAGAGGCCGATATACGGACACATCACCATTTTAATGCCATAACTGGTAAGATTCCTGAATCAGCTGTGGCCAGTTAATCCCAGCATACTCGCTGGGAAAGCGGTATTCCTTCTCAACACGCCTAGTATCTTCCTGAACTCTGAACCAACTATCCCATCTGATCCCAAGACTTCCGTAAACCTCCATGGCCGATGGTTCTTCTGAGCCCATCATTACGTCCGGGCTTTCTGGCCACACATAGCAACCACTGCCACCCGAAAAGTTTATATGTTCCACATTTTGCCATGGTTCTGATATGTAGTCACTATCTTCATTATTGTCGGTAGTCGTAGAGCCCGCTACGTCTTCATCAAACCTACCAGGACTTTGAGATAGATCAGAACTGAAGTCTGAGTCTGACGGGCAGGAAGCTCCGTCTAGATCGAAATATAATGCGATGATTTCATCCTCTTCGAGCTCAGATCCTTCATATTGCGCCATTATCTTAAGTTTCTTGAGCTTCAGCCACCGATTGAAGACCTAAGTTTGACAATATAGTTAAGTAGAAATCGCTATTTGAGGGGGTTACCAAGAACAAGATAAAACTATTTTAATTCCTGCCCTCTCTGACCATATTGTGCAAGTGCCAGAGAACACGAAGCTATGAACAGACACCGTGGCTATTTTGTATCATATCAACATGTCCTGTTAGTATATACGACTTTAAGTTTGACTCGAGTTCATTGTGGAACTTCTTGAAAGGAAGAAAGGTATTATAACATACAAAGATAGCTATAAGGAAGACTATGCTTTAAATATGAACAATGACCAATCCTCAAGACAATGTATACAATGTAAAAAGACTATAAAAAGTCTGTTTACATAATAAAGGGGGGGCTTAGTCAGCGCATCGTGTCGCCAGCCACATGTCAATGCAATTCATCCGGTGCACCGGGTTAGGGGTGCATAAGGCCCCGTTAGGTATCGAACCTAGGTAGGTAAGGTTAGATAAGTAAGACACAACAACGCGTCTTAAGGGAAGTGCTTTATAGATATATAGGAAGGTGCTTGCCCATCAGTCTTACCTATAATCTTTAAATCTTCTAGCATCCGAGCTACCTGATTAGTGTGAAACTTAGGATATATTAGGTTAGGTTAGGTACCTACCTACGGTATGTAAGCTTATTTATAGTAGGTTCTATTTCGAAGCCCGAACACAAGCGAAAACACAGAAACAGAAATAGAAACATCGTCATAATGACGAACCCGGAGCCGATTCAAGCCGAAACACACCGTCCCTTTGTGCTAATCGTCTGCCATTCCTTAACGGGCCATCTCTCTCCTCTGATTCGCATAGCTACAGCTCTTCACACGCTAGGCTGGGATACTTTCTTCCTAGGACCAACCGCACACCGCCGAGGTATAGAAGCAGCCGGCGCCGTCTTTTTACCTTTACGGGACGATGCCGACCTCGACGATAAGGCCTACTATGAAAATCCGCCTTGTCCCGGATACGCAGCACTGCACTGGTCTGAGCGCGTGCTGATTGACCTGCACAAGCAGTGTCTCGATCCTCTTCCTACGCAATGGTCCTGCTTTGTGGACGCCCTGAGAGAGTTACGGACTCGCGATCCGGAGCGCAAGATTATCTTATTAGCTGAAGCATTCTTCTATGGTATCTTACCGCTGTTCTATGGGGCACCACTTCCCGATGATTTGAGATTGGAAGAAATTCTGTTGGGATCGTTGTGCGTCTCGGTGACCGTACCCGCGATCCGTAGTGTCGACTTACCGCCTGTCGGGTATCCCTTTCCCTTCGACTCGTCGGCAGATGGCCGTGTGCGTAACGCGAGGCTCTGGGAATGGAGCTGGGAGCGCAAAGCTAGCTACCTAACCGCACTCCTAAACGCTAAGATGCGCGAGGCGGGTGCTCATCGCCCCGTCGACGAGATATTCCTCTCAGGCGCAAATTATCTGTGCCATGATACTATCCTACAGCTCGGCGTCCCTGGATTTGAATATCCACGCAGTGATTGGCCTCCCAACTTCAAGTTTGCGGGACTAGTGCAAGGCCCGCCACCGAGCAGCAAACCTGGAGCGCAGCCTTCCTCTCCTACTCCTACTCATCATACGAAAACTCCTAACTTCTCTTGGTGGCCCGAGCTCATATCCAATACCGCTCTTTCTACTCTTCTACCCTCGGACCCGTGCCGTGTCGCAAAAAAGAAGGTTATCGTCGTTGCGCAAGGCACTGTAGAGATCAACCCATACGATTTAATAGTACCTACACTGCATGCCTTCGCCAACAGGTCGGATGTGCTGGTTGTTGCCATACTCGGGTGGAAGGATGCCAATCTATCTAACTACGGAGTCGATATTGAGGTTCCACCTAACGCTCGTATCGCTGACTACCTTTCGTACGATGCGGCACTGGCCCACGCTGACGTATGGGTACATAACGCGGGATTCGGCGCTGTGAACCACGGTATTGCGAACGGGGTCCCTATGGTAGTCGCGGGCGAAGGAATGGATAAAACGGAAAACTCGCGACGAGTGGCCTGGTCCGGGATTGGAGTCGACCTTGGCTGCGCGAAACCATCAGTTGAGCAGGTTAGAGGAGGCGTCGAACGCGTACTAGAAGATGAAGGGTTTACAAAACGCGTGCGGGAGCTACAGAAACAGAGTCAGGAGATAGACTGCTTCGGCATGGTTCACAGTGAACTAGTTAGGATAATGAAAACACAGCCTAGCATTAAGCAACGGAGCCTAGGGTTTTAATGAAGAAGGTTTGCATTTACTACCTGCTGCTAATTTCTAGCCAGTATCCATGAGCAGAATGGTATCAGATCAATCAAGTTGCTTCCCGTAACACTTCCATTAACGATTAACTTCTTAGCACCCTCTTATTTAGAGAATGCAGTCCATGACATGCCACCTCAAACCTCCTTCCAGTATCTATACATACTCGTACAATTAGCAAATTTTTAGCAATAAGCTGTACTTGATAACGCCGTGTTGAAAGGGCATGCTTCATGCCATATGATCACTCATAGGATGACCAGCTTATCGAACATGTGCTCCTAAGCATAGACAATAATCTATTGAGAAAGGATTGACAAGCCCGGATCGATAAGATAACAAAGGAGGTATAGACTTTATCGAACTTATCGAGCTGTATCCTGAGTCTCGGGACAGTAAGATCCGCCAGCTAACACGAGGTTCATGCGAGTAAACTGAACCTTGATAACAGGTGTTTTCTTCGTCGCAAACGCGCTAATCTGGTCCGCTGTTATCATGACGTCCTTGCCCTTCCTCTTGCCCGCACCACCAGCTGCGCCGCTGATAGGTTGCGTCGTCTGCCCATTTTGTTTGCTGTCGCCTTGTCCACCTGCCGCAACAGTTGTGCTATCCCCGTCCTGTTGGTTTGCGGGACGACTGCCTTCGGCCGGCATCTCGACGTCCCAAACGCGCACCGTGTTATCCTGTCCGCCGGATACGAGCACGGTACTCTCAACACTGAAGCTGAGTGACCAGATTCCACCACGTCCATGACCGCGGCAACGCTTGATGCGGGTGGCCTTATCTATATCCCATAGAAAGATGTTACCACCGATATCAGCTGAGGCGAGGATCTTGCCGTTGGGGGCGCACTCCATTGCAGATATATATTCGGTATGGCCCGTAAATATACGAACGCAGTTGCCACTAACCACAGACCACATGCGGATCGATTTGTCTGTCTCGTCAGAGGCTGAGAATACGTACGTGCCATTGGGATGCCACGCCACGGCCGAAATGGCGGTGTCGTGGCCGACAAGGAGACGTTGTGCTGATGCGTGGTCTTGAGACCAGACTCTGACAGTTTTATCCCACCCGCCAGTCACGAAGTAGTGACCATGCGGACTCCACGAGAGACAGAAGACTGGGCCATCGTGGCCCTTGTAAATGCAAAGGCAGGCCCAAACCTCGAGAGACCACAATCGTACTTGGCCATCAGCCGAACAGGAAAGAAGAAGCTTGCTATCTGTCTCCGGCTGAGGCGAGCCTTCGTAAATATTACGATCTAGGTTGGCTACAGCATCCGAGAAAGCCACGGAATAGACGGGAGCAGAATGGCCGATTAACTTGCGGTTGTTGACTTTCAAGTCCTTCTCAGGCGCCAGACGAGTCTTCAGAGCTTTGCCGTCAAGAGACCATACGCGAATGTATGATTCTGTCGTTCCCACCGCCACAAGTTCTTGGTCTTTCGAGAAATCCATGCACGAGATGCTAGATGAAGTTAACACAGAGTCCTACGCTAGCCAGCTAAAGTAATGCTTACCTGCCGAGATGATTGTGGAATGTGAACATGCAAACTGAAACGCCAGGGCCTACACCACCGGTGCGACCTTCAATTCTAAACCGATCTCGGTTCTCTCGAACTTTCTGCATTTCCATGACGACGTCCCTTGCTCTCGACGGGGGGTATGGGATATCTGTTCGCTGTGGAGAATCGCCTGATTCTCTCTTAATAGGATGCATGGCATTGAATTCTTCTACTAATGTAGGGAATCCTTCTCGGGGTGGGCGAAGCTTATCCTCTTCTTCCAACTCAGCAACCACATCACCCCGGAGCTCAGGGTCTATCGGGAGTGGTCCAAGCTTCAGAGCGGCCGTGTTGTCAAGGATGTTGCGGTTGGCAAGCCCACTGCGACTGGAGACACCCGGGATACCTTCTTGGATGTCGACTTCGTCGAGTTCCTGATGCCGAGCACGGCGGTAAATAGCTTCGAAGCTAAACGGTTCGATAGGACCCCGATCCACGGAATCAACACGACAGTGTTGCTGTATGATATCAAGAATTACGGCTCCACACTGTTCCAAGTCTCGCTCCAAAAAGTGGAATAGATGTCCCGTTAGAGACTTGCTGATCGGAATGACGTACTGGTTCTCTAGATACGCCTTGGCAAACGCGTTCTCCCGGACGTGTATGGAGAGAGTTATGGTAGACAGACTCTTCAACTCGTCTGGATGCGTCTTTTCAAAACGGCTCCGGATTTGCTCCAAAAGTTCCTGTGCATGAGTATAGGAAGCCTGGCTAACCAAGCGGAGGTAGGAGTAAATGAAGAGAGGCCAAAGAATCTTCCCCAATTCAAACTATCCACGTGTAAGACGACCGTCATCTCGTTTTAGCTAGCGATAATACATACCTTGTAAAGATCGACTCCATTATCGACCCATCTTGCAAAATGTTTGAATGCGCCCAGATACTTCCCCGCAGGAAGGAACTTGTTGGGGGCTACTGCATCAACATTATCACGAGGTTTGCCGTTCTCGTTGATATCCTTCACCTCCTGACGGAAGATCTCCTCTGTACGGTTATACCCTTTCTTAATCAGATAATCTGTAACCTAAACAATATAATTAGCCTCGTTTAATATTAAATGAAGTATAACTGAAGCGAAATGGAAAATCATGCAAATCCAGGCATACTAGTTCAGAGAAGGGTCTTGGTGTAAATCTTGGTGTAATGAACTTCTGAGTATGGGTTTGACCCTCGCGGCTCTGCTCGCTGGAAACTCTAGACCCCTTCAGAACGTCATTCAAGGGTGGAAGTTGAAGAGCAGAGCGTTTCGGCATGGTTGTAAGTTTATGAATATAGATAGAAAGTGGTCTGAACGATGATCCGGATTTAATAGTCCGGTATGCTCTCGCGCGCGTTTTAATTGCGGGCAAGCACGAAATGAATAGACATTGAGTGGTAATTTGGTAATTACCTAGGCATCAATGAATAATACAAGAGATGGGGGAAGAATGTTTGTAGTGATGGCGAAACTCCAAGGAGGTTGATGACCTTGAAGAGTGAAAGTTTGTTGAAAGAATGAAAATAATTAATCGAAAAGAGAAAAGAAAGTCACGGCTTACGATTTGGTTAAGATTCTGGTTGCTACTACCAGTTGCTGTTGAAGCTGAGGTAGTGGCGGGGTTGCTACCGGCACCTGGAGTCGTAGTTGACGGCTGCGGTTGGGGGGTGAAGTTATTGCTAGATGCACCTCCAGCACTTGGCGGTGCTGTATTAGACATGGTGAAAGACGTATACACGACTCGCGTATTTAATCGACTTATGGGATCCTGATGCCTAACAATAGTAGCCTAGCAACAATACTATATCAAGTACTGTGATTCCCATAGAAACCGAATGAGCACCTAAAGATAGCATAGTGTTAGCATATTTGAGGAGACGCGATTGAAGTGTAGAGGTTGAGGCTCAACTGAAAAGGACAGGCTGATGCAGGTACATATATACGTACACAAAATAAGGTTGAAGACCCCACCGTGTTCCCGGGGTGCTTTATGTACCTATGTACCTAAGGTATGTGCATGTGTTGTGGAATGATGATGCACGTGCTAAGTTGTGATTTGTGAGTAAGCTCAACTGAGGCAGCTTAAATATTTTTTGTAAGTACCTAGGTAACTACCGTACCCTGACCAGCACGCCCAACTCCAGGTACCTTAGTAGTTACAAAGTTACAAAGTTGCAATGCATCAACATAAGCACATGGTCTTCCTTTATTTTAATACATAACAAAGCAAAAATCTCTTAAATGCGTTTCTTATTTATTTTTTATCTTTCATTCATCAAATATAATTTAAATCGAGCCCAATTTCCTTAGGCAGCTTCTTACTGCGGTACAAGCTCCATGATGGAGACCAATGAACAACCCCAATTTGTGCCTTTCACCAAGGCTGAGCGCATTGAACAATTAGGCGAGATCGATCGGGTTCGTCGCCTACATCATTTTACCCTTGCCTCCTAAAGCTAACGTTTAATCAGAACATCGTAAGCCTACTACGCTCCACTGCTCAAGCCATTCAAACCCTCGGAAGACAACAATCCCAAGGGGAGGATACTATCATGACAGACGAAAAAGACCAGCAATCGCAGGTCTTCCAAAGCTCGATGAATGATTTCCTCCGTACGTTGCGAGCTGTTAACGTCGGTATGAAACGACAGATATGGGGTCTTGAAGAGGAGCATATCATATCCCTGGAAAATAAGGACGGTCCTAATACTAGAGATGAGGGCGGCGAGGCCCAGGGAGTTGGCAATCGCAATACCCCAATCAAGCCGGATGGCGATGGGAAGATTGGTGGACTCGATGTGGGCTGGCTCAACAGCCGAAGCGACGAGGTTGAGAGGGGTATGGAGACTGATCTTTGGGCCGAAGCCGAGTCATATCTACAACGGCTTCTAAAGCAACACGAGGCCACCCAAAACTAGGAACAGATGATGGATATGCGATGAGTTTACTCTATGGTTGACTGAGATGTCCCATATGATGAGGGTTAAAATAGGACAGCATTAGCATTTGACGGCGTTTAAGGAGTACGGGTATACCATAGGTCTTATCCATCTTCAGTCTGCCTATTAGGTAGCTGAATTATATTTGTTTTTTTTTTTTTTTTTTTCAAACCTGATATAAATTCTAGCCAATAAGGGGATCTTTCACCCTCCTGATTAATGTTTTCTATTGAAGACACGATCCAACACGTAAACTGGAAATACATCTTTTATATCGGTAGGTAGGTAAGCCCCTGAGCAAGTAGATGATCCCTAGTAAAAGTGCCTATATTGAAATTTAGTACATTAGCACATGTGAACGTACCTTTAGCCCCACTTTGCGAAAGCCGGAGGTAGGCTGCCACCGCCGCACCGGCAGCACCAACCGAAAGCTACTAGAACCAACGTAACACCTCCAAAAACATCATAGGCTTATCCCATAAATGTACCTGCTTTCATCAACTCTCCTACATTAGGTAATTTACGACGCCCTTAATTCCGGGCCAACTACTCTTCACTCTTCACTCTCAACTGTGAAGTATCCATCATGGATTTAGGAGAAGCAGGCGATTCACCTTGGGGTGGTATGATTACATTATCCTCTTTTTGTCCTGTACAATTTGCTTAACCATGATCAGATGTCCCATCCCAATCAGCTTCGATATCTCCTACCTTCGACCAAGAGGGTCTGTTTATTTCACCCTGCTCGCAACATACTATGCATAGTCGCTAACGCTAGGTGAATTATATAGAAAGTTCTACCAAGACTCAAGATGCTGAGACCTCGCAGCAATCGCAATCCTCTGTTAAGTCATCCGCCGGTCGCCCTTCTAGGGGTCCAGTGCGTCGCCTAGTAGCCCAGCCGACAAAACTCGAAGCCGTCGATGATCCTCTAGGTCCTCTGGGTCCTTTAGGGGCCACTGCTGGACCAGGCGCAGATGCGCAGGCTGATGAACCGCCAGCTCCGCCGCAGAAGGAACAGATGGTAATTCGAACAACCATGCCACCACCGGCGCAAAAGAGACCGGGACCTGCGGATCCTCACCATATTGACGATGAAGAGTTCGATCGCCCGCTTGGCCCAAGAGCTCCTCCTCCCGTACAGGCTGCGCAACCAAGCCCGATCAGGCCCACGAGTCAGCCTAGCGTTAGCATAGAACAGGCAGCTAAGCCTATCTTCCGTATTGCTGTCGGCGACCCGCATAAAGTCGGAGACTTGACGAGTTCACATATTGTCTATTCCGTTCGTACGCAGGTATGAAGGAGAACCCGGGCTGATACTTATGGTATTTGCTGACCTAATGGCGAGTAGACAACATCGAAAGGTTACAAGCAACCCGAGTTTGAGGTTAAGCGACGATACCGTGATTTCCTATGGCTTTATAACACAATGCATGGAAACAACCCCGGTGTTGTTGTACCGCCTCCTCCTGAAAAGCAAGCTCTTAACCGCTTTGAGAGTAATTTCGTCGAGTCTCGTCGAGCCGCTCTAGAAAAGATGTTAAACAAAATTGCCGCACACCCGACGCTTCAGAATGATCCCGATCTGAAGCTGTTCCTAGAGAGCGAGTCCTTTAATGTCGACGTCAAGCACAAAGAAAGGAGAGATCCCATACCCGGGGAGAGTAAAGGCGTTCTGGGATCGCTTGGTATCAATGTCGGAGGCGGTAGCAAATTTGTCGAACAAGACGATGTAAGTTTCTGGGTCTTCCTTTTGGAGATAAGTGTTAACCATTTATAGTGGTTCCACGATCGACGAGTTTATCTGGATGCTTTGGAAAATCAGCTTAAGGCATTAATGAAGTCTATGGATGTCATGGTCAACCAACGCAAAGCTATGGCGGAAGCAGCCGGCGATTTCTCTGCCTCCTTACATGCTCTATCCACTGTAGAGCTGAGTCCTACGCTTTCCGGGCCACTAGACGCCCTGTCGGAGCTGCAGCTTACCATACGAGACGTCTACGACCGCCAAGCCCAGCAGGATGTATTGACTTTTGGCATCACCATCGACGAGTATATTCGATTGATCGGTAGCGTCAAGCAAGCATTCGCGCAGCGGCAAAAGGCCTTCTATTCGTGGCACAGCGCCGAATCTGAGCTGCAGAAACGCAAGTCCGCTCAAGACAAGCTACTTCGGCAGGGAAGGTCGCAACAGGATCGCCTCAACCAGGTTGGTGCCGAAGTGGCGGACGCCGAACGTAAGGTTCATCAGGCCAGGCTGCTTTTCGAGGATATGGGGAGATTGATGCGATCTGAGCTCGATCGTTTCGAGAGAGAAAAGGTGGAAGATTTCAAGTCTTCTGTCGAGACTTTCCTAGAGAGCGCCGTCGAAGCGCAAAAGGAGGTGAGTACAATTGATCCTATTTCTATAAAAATAGCGCTAACTCTTTGAATAGTTGATTGAGAAGTGGGAGACGTTCCTAATGCAGCTAGATGCTGAGGATGACGAGACTGTATTCTACCGTCCGCCTGTATACCAGGGTAATGATAAGTCTACGGGGCGCGGAAACACCGCAATAGATCGAGCACGGGCTACTATCGATCAAGATTCAGACTAATAAAATTATATGGTCATCTTTATAATTTGATATCTTTTTTTATACGATTCAGATGGCGAAGATTCAGTCGAGGCTTTGGACAGATGTATACATAGTTGTACAAATGATATAGGAGAAGAGGCATTCAGTTGCCCTTCACTCCTTAATCGCTAGCAGCTCCTTCATCACAAATGTTAGCATTCCAAGCTATTATATACCCCAAGCAAGCTCCCATCTCGGCATAGCATTTCGGGATTCTTTCGTTCCGCCTTTCAGCTCCGTAGATAACAGAGTAGGTCGTCCTCTAGAATGTCGGTGGGCTCAGGTTTCCATTTCACTTGTCTATAATCCCCGTCCCTATTTCTTCTTTCCCGACTGTTTGGCCGGCCTAGTCGGCTCTTTAATCTGATCCTGGTTGGTCGAGTAATTCGAGATCAAATCGCTTAGTGCATCGTAGCGCTCATCCACGGGGTCACTCTTGCTCGTCTTCTTAGCTGCGGCAGCTAGTTTTGCCACAACTCCCTCGGTACCTTCACCACCCTCCGCAGTAGCAGCATCAGCATCGGCGCCCTCCTCCCGCGCCGCCTCGATATCCCATCCGCGTCCGAACCTGCCGCGGAAAGCAGCCAGCTTACCGGCCTCATCGACCTCGACGTTGCGCAGGGAGCTGTCGGAAGGCTGCCATAGGATGTGGTTGCGCGTGTCCTTGGTGCTCTTGTATAGCGCGAGCGGCGACGTCGTGCGATGCGTGTACGTCGATCCGTCTGTTTGCTGGACGAGCTGGGTGAACGTGTACGGTCGCCGCGGTCGGCGGATGATGGTTGCAGCTCGTGAGGGCGTGTGCGAGAGTGGCGTGTGCGAGGGTTTTGATATGGAGGGTTGAGGAGTGTGGATGCTGGTGGTAATGTTTGGACGCCGTGGTATGGCGCTTGGGAGTCTAGCCGCCATTGCTTGTAATATATTTATTCAGCCCAAGTGACGATTTATGAGTGTATTTCTGAATTATTCGGATCGGCGCTTTGTCAATTGGTTCGTTCTTTTCTCAGTGGTCTCTTTTTATCGGCGATATAATCGATATTTCTTATGCTGGACTTTTTTTTGGTGGAGTGAAAGTTGGGAAATTTCGATATGGTTGAGCTTGCCGGCCCGAATGCGGCTGACCGGCTGGCAGGGTCCGTTATCATTATCGTTATCCGCGCTTTCTTATCGGAATTTTTAAGCGGGAGCTTCTGTTCTTTAAATCTTGATTTCTTCCTTCAATGATGATGACGAAAAGAGCCAATTGGGCTTCAGTAGTAACATTGGCCTTCATGGACTGAAATGAAGAGTCTTGATGGTCTACGGTGGACGTTGAAGTCCACAAGACCACAATATGCTTCCTTCTACACCATACCAAGAGCTCAGGTGAGCTTCTTAACCCGGAAGAGTTCCGAACAAGTTGGACAAGCCGGTGAGCATAACATTATATAAAGTACCTAATATATATCACTGTATTCAAGCTTATAATACAAATTCGGTAGGTTCTCCTAGATTTTTATATCACGGCAGAGTACCCGAGAGGCCCGTCAAGCCCTCGAATCCTACACGGCATGTGCTTTCTCAGCCCATGCGCGCTGTCATGCGCCAAATCCCACACCCCGTAGTCGTTATTACGACTCTAGAGAACGCACATAGTATATCCGAGCTCATAGATGGTTCCAAAGATCAAGTCCTACCTCCGGTCCCTAGAGCCATGACCGTGTCGTCATTTACGTCTTTATCTGTCGATCCCGTACCGCGGGTCACCTTTAATGTTTCTCTACCGAGCACAACTTATCAAGCCCTTATGAAATGCGGGAGGTTCAATGCTCATATACTCAGTAGCGACGACCATGGTGTTAGAATCGCAGATTTATTCACTCGAGGCAACAGGCTTCCGCCAGCCGAGGAGACAACTAAAGACGGAGGACAACCAGACCTAGGTGTCCTTGCGGGTTTGGAAAAACTCGGGGTTCAGGTGTTAGGGCGGGAGATATGGCGACAAGAATGGGAGCAGGCTAAAGACTATAGGAAAAAGGTTGCTGCCGCTGGAAATATGGGTACGAATAACCCCGAGGTCGACTTGCCGCCATCAGGCACTCTGCCGGTGTTACAGGGCCAAGGCGTTATGCACGTGTTAAAGTGCAAATACCGCCACTTACCGCCTCCCGTAGAAGGAGACTTTGATCATCATGCCATCGTCATCGGGGAGGTCCTAGACATAATATCCGGAGAATCTAGGGATGAGAATAGCATCGCGCTCGCGTATGCGGATAGAGCATACCGACAGATAGGAGAGAAGCTATTAGACAGACCTACATCTGGCCAAGGATCCTCTTCAGCCGGGAAGGCATAATGGCAGATTGACGTATTTACAAGGGAATTAGACGTTCGATGAAGAGTCCGCAGTAATGTCCGTCTAATTCAACATCCTACTAGGCCATGTCCATAGTTCTACGAAATTTAACTCATAGAGAAAGCGAAGTATACCACCCTCAAATATCTACCATTCTTATTATATGCAAAATCGTACATAAAACATGATTCCAGTCACGTTAATCATGGGGGGGAAATCCTATAGCGAGGCAGGGTAGCAATATCAAAACTTGTATTCTCAATTGTGCTTTCTCAATACTCGAGGTTTCAGAAGGCCTTAGCCGTCTGTTTCTACAAAGGTCTGGCCTTGGTATTTACGATTCTCAGGGGCCAGTTATGAATAATTAATTATTACTTATTTACGTCTTAGAAGCATAGTTTAAGCATCACTCGGTACAGTCCGGATCGTTATTCCCACTACCAGATAATCATCGAAACTCAGAATCCCAGGGAGTCCTTCGAGAGGCAGAAATGCCACATCCAACATTATCCCGTTGCATAGGTAGAACCCATTTGCCATCATCCCATCCAGTCAGCCAGTGATGAGAATATTCTTCCACCTTAGTTTCGATACTGAATATCCACCCCACGACGAGTCGCAGGGCGAAGTGGAATCAATACATGCGGTTCTCGGGTTTTAACCAGGTAGGGTATAGATATAGTGGCAAGTAGACGTAGTATGTGGACCTCAACCGATTCGCGACCGTAATGTGAGCACAAGTACCGTTCGTTTTCCGGAGCCCCCATGCAACAAGTGGTAACGATAGCTGAAACTTTTTCTGGAGGTATGTTTGGTGTTCTGATAGTTCGGTGAAGCGCGTACGTCGCGGCCGGTCGTGGAAGCGATTGAGTATCTGTTTGAACGTATTGGTAATCAGGTATTGATGGCGGCGGTGTTGTTGAACATGCATGTCGCAAGTGATGTAGTCGGAATTAATTAGTAGCAAGGAGTCTTGAATATAGATACGTTGTGTAATATCTGGATAGAATTCTCAACAAACGATCCAGCTAGAATTACTTGTAATGGTTACAGTTTAACTACAACAAGAAGGGGGAAGACATATATTAACGGTTATAAGTCACGAGCCGACGGTTGGTTCCTGGCAGGAACCACATCCATGAACTTTGTTCAAGGAAGAGTATATCAGAACAGTATTAGAGCAGCAGAAGAGCCCACGGGCTAGGCTTGAGTCAAGAATAAAGGCAAGTCTGTTCGCGCCTGCTCAGATAACACTCTGATTCATTGCCCACGAAGATAAATTGACGGACTTACTCTCTCGGGAGCGATATCAAACTATAAATAACTTAACTTATTCTTTCGCATTTGGTAGCAGGTAGGCATACGATTGGCTACCTAGATATACATCTGAAATGTCGTATCATTAATCCACAGATGTCCTCTTTAGATCATATAAACGCCCCTATACCAAAATACACTAGACAGAAAAGGGGGGTTGATGATAACGTTTACGTCTATTGGTCTGCTATATACTACCTAGGCAGATACGGCGGCGCATCTCTGGCGCTTTAGACGTCTAGAGTACTCCCCAGAGGGAACAGAGTTAGAGTATCGCCTGACATAAGACGGAAAAGGGGGAGAGGGGTAGCAAATATAACACTCCCAAATAGCTACGAAGAAATCTATAAATCTCATGACCATAGGCTTATGAATCAATCCTAAGCTTGGAAGTCAAGAGTATCAAATATTGCAAACTGGACATAATTTTATATTCAGTTGAGTTTCTAAGGTAACCCCTAGGTAATGCCAGCCAGGAGGGGTATCTGAAATCACCTAGCTGACCATCACGACTCAACACTTAGTCTCTTCTTATTCTAGTCGCTATACAGGAGCCCTTGCGCACTCAGAAGTCGGCCCAGAACCCGTCTGTCTCCAATCAAAATCCTTGAGACGTCTTCGCTACTTGAAACGAAACAGCAGCGAGGCCCTCGTTGCCCCTGAGCAACACACCAAAATTTGAGAGTAAAATAAAGCAGAGGGCAATTATACAGCAATAAGATCAAATTTGGATGCCAGACTGAGGCAACCTGTGCTCCTTTGATGGATGAACGATTTACACGCCCTTCTTACTCCGGAACGTTCTGTCCAAACCTGCAAACTCCGACAACCTTTTTTTTGCAAGCACCGAAAGAGAATATAATTAAAACATTGAGAAAAGAGTAACTCGTCTGCATTTCCCCGCGGAGATGGCGTCTCGAGAGTAGTGTAGGACCTCGACGAGAAGACGCAGGAAAGATAAAATCTCGATGTGGAAGGCGGTAATCCGAGGACAAAGGAAAATGCGATTAGCATATGCGGTATTGGTAAAATAAAGCAACGCTGGATATGGCCGAGGTGCGAAAGGTCGTAACTTCGTTCAAGTTTAATCTATATCGTTTGCTCACGCGAATGGTCTTCGAGAAGGGGGAGAACCGGAGGGATACCAGTATCAACCATGCTGGGCTGGTTACATAACAACGCAGCAACCGCATCCAGACTTGTTTGGCTTCTCTTCTTCGGGTTCTTCTACCTCTGTTGGCACTCTAGGATTTTGAGTAGCTTGGATTTGAGGTTGTTGAACTGAACGCGGGCTGGCAAGCGGGCTAGCGGCAGGTGTGCCTTGAATCTTGGGCATCGTCGAATAAGAGCTTGTGCCGGGTCGGCTCGTATTATTTGGACTCTTAGCACCGGGTCGTAACGGCCATTCGCCCTGTTGTCCCTCCTCAGTCTCTTTCGGCTTTTCAACCTCCGGGGGTTTTAAGAAACCCTCGTCATTAAGAGGGCGAAATTCCTTGTCATAAATATTTCCGAATTTGCCTTCCTGCTCCCATTTCTCCTGTTGTAACCTCTTTGCGACGGTAGGAAGAAGCTGCTGGTCTGGAGGCAAACGCGGATCGGGTTTATATGCGGAAATCATCCATGGTGGATCGCCCTCTGGCGCAGATTTGGTTACGGATGGTGATAACTCGCCGGATCGGGTGGTTGGTCGTGTAGTAGAACCATTACGAGGAGTCTGACCTGACCGGGTCTTAGGTCGGCCTTGTGAAGTCGTTTTAGTCGGCGCGGTGCCCTTCCTAGCTCCAGTAGAAGTTTTCTTAGGTGATCCTTCCTTAACGGCACGCTTCGTAGGCTGGGTTTTCGAGACATTATCTAGAGCGTTAGAACTACCGCTACGTGACCGTGATTTCGGCAATGAGATTGAAGGATCTTGGTCAGGCATAGGGAAGCCTGGCTTACGCACTGCTGGCGCATCTCGCTCAAGGTAGTCGACGGGAATTGGCGCCGGGCTTATTTTGGCTACTGGAATACGCGACTTGCTGGTATCGCTTCTTACCCAATACTCGCCGGGATCCTCTGCTATCTCCTCGGGAAGACGCAAATCCCAATCCGGACTCTCGATATCGTTAAATATTTCTAGACTCAACTCCGAGTTTTTTCGAGATCTCGCAACTGGACGCTCCGATGCGTCGGTTCCCCGCCGGCGTCCGTTTGCTTTATCCGGGCTACGATCTCGCCTTGGTCTGCTGTGAGCTCTTGGCTTGGGTAGGACAATTCCGGCAGCTTGAAGCTCCTGGTTCTCTATCCTAGCCAACTTATCCCTATGAATCCATTTCGAGTGTTCGTCGTCATCGGGTTCTGAAGGTGAAACATCGGCGTTGGGTCGCTTATGATCGGATGTCGATTTGTTTTGACCTATGTAGATATATACGTTATATTAATAAAATTGTCCCACTAACTTTATGTCTGACGAATATAATGAACATGTGAATTAGCTGGACTCTTTTGATAGAAAACTGACTAACCTTTACTGGGTAGGTAATCATCTGTTGCATAAGGATCGTAGCCAGCGTCCCCATTCGCGATGTAGGAAGGACCTCTCATAGAGCCGTTGGTCTCATGCTTATCTGCAGATAGCTTATGCGACGTGGAGCTCTGAGAGAAAAGGCAAACGTCGTATTAGTTTAGGTTGGCTTAACAGCGACAAATTGGGAATCCATGAACACATCGGATAATTTTCTTGTTGGGCTAAGGGTATAAGGACTTACATCGTGGGAGCCGGAAGATGTGTGATTCCATCTGGAATGATTTGCGTGCGAACTGGTTGTAGTAAGAGTAGCAGTGCCCGAAACCGCCGACATAGCCGCCATTTCAAATATAAATTAAAGGACAGCCAGTATAACGGCGGATTCGTGGAACTTGAGGCACTACCGACCAAATCCAGTTTGACGAAATATAACGAATATAGGAAACTGAAGAGCTGAGCGTGGATTAACGATATAATTTTCTATTCGGGGCTACGTCGTAGCGATGGAAAAATTGAAAAAGCGCGGATGCGGTTGTGATTTTAGCGATGATGATGGCGACGTGGATGTCGATGATAATATGATAATAGGAGAGTTAATCGTAGTGGACGCGTTAAAACAGCAGTCGCCAGCGGCTGTCAGTTTGGATCTGACGAGGATCGCGAGAATAGTAGCTTTAGAAATGAGTGACGAGGAGGAGTTGACCGCGAAAACGAGGTAAAATCAGAGTTAACTCCAATACCTATTGATTCGTTGTATCCTAACCAAGCTCCTAGAAGTCGTCCACGACGGACCGAACGACATAGACAAAATGCGCAATCCGTCTCTTTTCCCCTTGCCGTTAATACTATCAAGTTGTAAGGCAACCAGTTGGTTGCCAGTGCTCGACTCGACTCGGCTTCCAACCTCTACACGTACAGGTACACTCGATACACTCGATCCCTTTCACGCACACGCACACGCCCTGGTTTCGATCCAATGGGGCAATTACTTTCATGGGAATGCGCGCTCCTAAGGGAGATAAGCAGGTGACGGTGACGAGAAAGAAAAGAGGACGCAGAACGGTAGTGGCTGGGATTAGATTGGATAGATTGGGAGGTGTTAAGGAGCCGTCGTGGCCGTGGCGTGGCAGACTTGCAGAAGCAAATAATGTGGTCCAGGGCTTGGAAGTTCGGGGACTGTCGATTTGACGATTTGACGATAGGAAAACGATGAGATGCATTCGGAAAGGGGATTGGTCGACTTGCTCTCATTTGAGCGATTCATTAAGCTTTGAACCTTGAAATGTCCCACTTAGGTCAAGGTCGGTGGTTGGTTGGCTAAGGCAAACTTCCACGCATAAAGTTCTCATTTAGGTACATACCGGGGACTTCCTAGGGGTACACGTACATACTGTATTATCGCATGTGATGACCTACATTTACATAGTATAGGAGGTACCTAATGGAAGAGGTACAGATTAGGTACATAAATTCCTTAAGGTTGGCAGCTCCGGTCGGGTGAACACATGCAGAGGTCATGCGCGTACGT